ATCCTGCACTGACAAGGGGAGGCGCGCAGCAATGGAAACGACCTCGGGGGCCGTGTCAGGCACAAAGATATGGAAGGACAGCTGCACTGGCGGACCACCAGTTCCCGTAGCACCTGCTGGCACAGCGTGAATAGGGGACGGGCGAAATGCAGGTTCATGCCGACCTATTATTCGATCCGGAGGGGTTATCGGAAGGTCTGCGGGGGCCCTGGATGCATCCTCAATCACAGCACGTGCAACATCCTCGATGGGTCCACGAGCAGCCACCACATGGGACCGCGTCGGAGCGGCGGCAGCTGTGGGGAGAGGGTGCATACGGCTGACCGCTGGCAACAGGCCAAGCTCAGCAGTGAGCCGAAAACGATGTGCGGAGAAAAGGCAGAACCAGAGACCGAGAGAGGAAACGCCCGAAAAGACAGCGACGCTCCGATCAGGCTCTTGGATGACAGGGCTGCAGCAATCTGGAGGTAGCAGGATGTGATCAATAGGTGCTGACTCCTGGAAACAGGCATCCATGGCATCGAAACGGAGATTGGCGCTGGTGCGACCCCTACGGTTGTTGCTGGGCCTTGCAGCAGTCTGATGACGAGACTGCCTCTGCCTCTTGCGATTTGCACCGTGGGCACTGGGCCGATCGGGGCCACCATCAGTGGAGGAGTCCCCATCATCGGAGGAGGCAGGCCCGTCGCTACTCTCACCGGAAATCGCAGTACCGATCCCATCCGGAAGCACTCGGACAAGACTAAGAGTCAGGACGGAGGAATTCCGAACATAGACATCATCGTCCTCCTTGCATCCTCCTGTGATCTGCAGAAAGAACCCCGCCGGGATCTGGAGGTCAAACTGGGCACAAACGCTAGGGATGTGCCAAGCGGGGAAATGCCCAAACTGGAAGAAAGGCCGCATGCCAAGCTGTCTAACATCAAAGACAGTGAAGACATCTCGCCTTTGAGAATGCAAGGAGCCAACAACATCCGGTCGGGGAAGCCTGACGACAAGAGCACATGTATCGCAGGGCTCTCCATGCATGTCGAAGCGAGCAGGTCCCTCTAGCAGCTGAATTGTGAGGTCAGCAGAATCTTCTCTCATCCTATTGGCGATAGCATGATCAAGGCTAAAGCCGTAGTGATGCCGCTCATGCAGATAGAAGCGATGCTCAGCTGTCATCACGCATGTGCCGGCCGTACGAACATCCCGGGGCAAATGAACGATGTCAGCCCATCTGCCTTCTGGTAGGAAAAGATCCAGAACGTCAGTGGCCGGCGGGCAGGGCACCGACCGCTCCAAAACCAGAACAGCAACACCCGGCGCGAGTGGGAGCGATGCATCAACTGCACAAGGGACGGTGCTAAAACCCACGTACACACGAAGATCATTGGCATCCTGATTGCACATGGGAGCAACAAATTCCAAGAAGGCAGTCATGGAGAGCCCATTGGGCAATGCAGCTGCAAAGTAATTGCCTCCGACATGTGACAAGTCGATCATGACTGCCACGAGTACATCATTACGACATTCAATCACGGAGGCGAATCGGATGAAGCCAGCAAAACCTGGGTGCCTCTGTGGCTGAATGGCGACAATCCGATCCATCAGCCGGTCGGGGTCATTCGGTGCCGCATCAAGCAGGGCATTCTTCACGGCTTGAAGATCCCCACACAAATCCCTCCGGACTCCCACATGGGTGGGGCGATAGTACGGGGAGAAAATGGTAACCCCAAGGCGTCGAGATGCACCGCGATCTTCAGGAATGCCCCCAGAGTCAGGGATCGTAACTACCGGCTGCACATCCTCATTTGAATGCGATTCATTAGCATGTGTGGGCATGGCAGATGGGGCAGAGGCAGTGCCTCCCATATCCCCAACGACCTCATGACCGACGAAATCCCTATCTAATCGGGTGGCCTCTGCAAACAGAGCAGAGCCACAAGGCGCCTCAAGCACAGATGCGGGGGCATCCTCCTCATCCGGAGGACCTGCAGCACGGGCCCCGATCGGAACATAAGCCCATGCGACTGCAAGGCCTGGAATGATCCCACTCGCTGGGGTCGGCATGGACGGAAGGGCCCACAAAAACCCAAGGGCGCAACGAAAGAGCCTCAGGATGGAGCCGCCTGGCCCGTATCCTGACCAAGAGCAGCGTGGCACGCGAGGCCGCCATTTGGCCTGGGATGATACATGGTCGGCGCTCTCCAAAAGAGCATGTGTCCGGAAGCAGCCCAACACTCGCATGGCGATAGGAGCAAAAGCAAGACAGGCTTGACGACATACCGGCAATCGGCATAACAAAGTCGTTCGAAGCAAGGCGACGAGGAGGCAGGCCAACAGGATGCCATGCAAACTCGCAATCCAAGCTAGGGCCTGTCGCTCCAGCATGTCAATCCAGCCGTCCGAGGCAAAACCATGGAGAAACATCATGCCCCAGAATGATGCACCACCCACGAGGGTCTGCCAAGGAGGATCGTGGCATAGAACAGGAGGCAGCGAGAGCCGATGCCCAAGAGCTCGACCAAAATCTGCCGCTGTATGCAGGGAATCAACGGCCTTATCCAGGGCAGGCTGCAATGGGCCCTCGGCAGACGAAGAGTACGCGATCGCAAAACCAATTGCACACAGCCCAAGTGTGCAGAAGAAGAAGGCGTGCTCGGTCTGTGTGCCCCGCCAGGCTGGCAAAGGGAAACTTAAGCAATCCCAACCAGTGTCTAAATCGCAAAGGAGGGGGGCTAAACCGAAAAGACCCGAATCAAGGGGGAGGGCAATGAATGTGCAGAGATCCTCGGGGTTGCAGCCAAAATCCAAGGCGCGATTGACCCCAGGAAGCAAGGAAATAAGCACATGATGCACCGGCAAACCAAGCCGAAAGTCACCAGGAAGGGCAGCCTTGAAAAACGGCGCCCGACCCTGACAGTAGGCAGGAGCATCTTTGGTGACAACCCCGACGTGGGGCGGAGCTGGAGGGCGACCAAACACAGCACAGAAGGAGGAAAGCGACTGATGGACCTGGCAGAGCTCAGGAAATGTACAGAAGGCCAAAACCTGTACAAGTATTCTGACTACCGGTTGGTCGGTCGACCTCAGGGCTCCTTTTAAAGACAGGGGTGTGCAACTCATGCCAGTATCTCCGCCATCGGGTCGCCAACCAGCAGCATATCCCCAAAGCCGCTGATTGGTACCGTCAGGGAGGAGTGATGGCAAGGTTGCACAACCCCTGTCTCGTTGGAGAACCATCATCCGAGGCCATCCAATGTCCTTTCTCCAGCCTCGTTCTGGTCCGCAGCTGTCTCGTCCATGTCGTCGTCTGAGATAAGATGCGGCCGGCCCTCCGTGGAAACAACCGGAGGCGGCACGGGTCCTCCAGGCAGATCCTCTTTGGCCGAGGATTCTGCTGTCTTGGCCGTTTCCTGGATCAATGCATCCCGACGCTCCTCCAGCTTCGTGGCCAAATGTCCAGAAACATGCGTATGCACTGGCTGAATGGGAGCTCCCTTGATGGGGTGCCTGGCAAGGCGAGGCCTGGTGCGACTGGCAGAGCTCGGCGCAGGGCTGGTAGTCGACGGCGGTTCCGCAGCCCGTGCAGAGGGGGAAGCAACATATGGCGCAGAGAGTCCCGGGGGAGCCTCTCCTGGCATGCCAGTCGGTGGAATGCCCGCACTCATGTATCCTGGTGGCATGGGGAAAGAAGACCCGGCTCCCAAAAGCTGCCCAGACATCGTAGCCATGAAGAGCTTGGCAGCTGCTTCGGGCGTCATCATAGCCCCCATGCCCGGGATGCCCGTGTTGTTGGCAGGGGCAGCCGTGGGCTTTGATTGCAGAGCTCGTTGGAGAACTGCTTGTGAGGCATCTGCCTCCTTCTGTTCCTTCTTCCATTGCGAGGTCATACCTTCCCAATCGAAACCACCATCGTCCTCGTCCGGCTCTGTGGGGAGTGGCTTGCCACCATTCGCAATGTACTGGCGAATATCCTCGCGAGCAGCTTCCCTGGCATCGATAGCCACAGCCAGGTCCCGATCGATGTTCGCGATGGATGACTCGAACCTCGCACACTCCTTGAGGAAACTCTGCTTCATCTCCTCCTGCCAGCTTGCCCATAGCTTGTTCTTCTGCTCCCGAGCATTCCGCAAGTTGCGGACCCTCTGTTCCGCCTTCCGCGTCACATTGATATAGTCCTGCAGATCCGATGTGAGGTGTTCCTCCGGGTCCTCGGGTGCCTTCTGCGGTAAGGCCACGGGCTCCTTGGCATCCTTCTTCATCGCCGTAGCACGGGCCCGGTCGTCGTAGGCAGGGAACTTCGCGATCTCCTCCTTGTTCCATGAGTCGTGGCCCTGTCCACGACCATGCTGCTTGGGAGTACGCCGTGATCCACGCCAGTAGTCCCAGCCTTCCGAGCCGGACTGCTTTGGGTTGCCGCGCTTCTGTGCGTCCCATCCTCGTCCCATAGGGTCGGATTTGTAGATAGCCCTGGAGTGGTGGCTTCGAAGGAGCCACAAATCTCGACGTGATGGCTGGGTTCCACCAGCCTGGCAGCCGCGAATGCGCAGTCTAGCCTTGGATCGCTGCCTTCTGGCAGTCCTATGCCACGTCGGGCTATGGCGAACCGTCCTAAGACAGCAAGGGATCGTGCAGGGCTGGTGCCTGCACTGGGGCAAGAGCTATTCCAGCTGGATGTTCTCGAGCCCTTTTTGGGGCCCATACTACTATAATTATAAGAAGGAATCCCAAAACCGTATTGGTAAGTGCTTCGACGACGTCGGCAACTGCTACTCGGGCTATCAGCAGTACAAGTGGGAGTTTCTGAAAATTACGGGTACCTTATGTTGGTGTCCTTATAATAAGGATCCTACGATTTTGGGTACTATATTAGGGTCCCCTTTTTTCGGAAACTCTCAAGTATTCATGGCTTGCAGCGGGGTTTCAAAGTACATGGCGTGAGGGTTGGGTCCTTGGTGTTCTCGTTCAGGGGCTTCGGGCCTGTGCAGGTGGAGAATGGCGCATTCCACTACATGGGCCGCAACGACTTTCAGGTCAAGATCAGCGGCGTGCGCATCGAGTGTGAGGAGGTGCAGCTGAATGCGGATTCGGGCTTGCTTGGGTTTGGGAGGTTGGGTTCAGGGCCGGTCGAGCTTGGAGTTGATGGCGGGCTGGGAAGGACAACGGTGAATTTGCAAATGGCTGTGAAATGCGAGGCCGCTAGTCGTTTCCGTTCAAGGTCGGTCGTACAGCGAATACCGTAGGGTTTAGAGTTTAGGGGTTTAGGGTTTAGGTACCTTCATCATGATCACTACACAACTCGCGCACCTGGAGTCTTCTAAGGCCTCGTTCCGAGCTTCTGTCTGCCAGGTTGGTGATCTGAGCAAGAGGGCAAGGGTTTAGGCTGCGGGGCTAAGGGGTAGACCCAGGGCTCGTGAGAGAGGGCTCCAATGTCCCATAGCTACTGGCTTTCGGGGCCACGAATAGCCCAATGCAAAGTCTGTGCTTGAAGGCAGGCTTTAGCTTTGATGTGCCTTTTTGTCTTCCACTCATATCCCAGCACTGCATCCGCAAGCCTCAACACATACCCCGCCTCCTTGATAGACAGCACGGTATAGGAGTGTAGCCGGTCCTGGGGATCTATAGTTTGTTAGCTTGGTAGCTGAGTGGATACACTTTACACTTCTACGGTCAAGATTACCCACTATAAGACAAAAAGTGTACACTTTGCGGGCTTATCAACTCAGCAACTAAGTCAGTGCTTAAGTTCTGGCAGGTGTCTGCAGTGCTGAAGACCCACCCAGTGGTCGGAGATGCTTTGGTCACTGCTTTTGATGGGCCGCTCGGCTCTTTCAGATGAACTGCCCTCAGGGTTTAAGTGTTCAAGGGGTTTGCGGGGTTTAGGGTTTGGGGTGTAGGGTGTCCCCAAGTATCACTTGCACGGAAACCTTGAGCAAGGAATCCATCGGGGTCTAGGGCTTATAGTGAATAGTGTGTAGGGGTTACTTTCATGGGAAGACTGAACAAGGAATCCATCAACGGCAGGCCCTTACGGTTGATGATATAAATCCTGCATGACCCATAATAAGGAATATATGGAAATTATGGTATATTCCTTATTATGGGTCATGCAGATTTATATCATCAACAGTATTTGTTGCATGTGCCAGCTTGGAAAACCTGCAGCGTGCCTCGCTGTCCGCTCCGCAGAGAGGTCGAACCTGCGATTCTCTCTTTCTTCACAGCTTCCACCCTCCGAAGTCCAAGATACTACTTGTAAGTTCTCAAACTCTAAAGCCTCAACCCTGAACCTGCACACCCCGAACACGAAGCCCTCAGCCGTGAACCAGGAACCCTAAACCGTAACTTGGAAGGCCTTTCGGAAAAGCATTGGCGGCCTACGTTGTTACCACTGACACAGTGGATTGGTCGCAGGACGCCCGTAAGGATTGTTAGGGTTAGGCTTAGGGTTGAGGGTTTAAGGTTCTTATCAGAGGTTTCAGGACTTTTTAGGCTTCAGGTTCAGGGTTCGCTCTAGGAGGAGGTGGCTTAACATAGAGTTTGGGCTCGGGTTTCCGTCGCCCACGCGCGCCTGTTGAGTGCAAGGAGGAATTCCATCTTAGGTTTCAGCCAGCCTCAACCCACTCCCACAAGGAAAAGCCTCTCCAATCAAGCTCTAAGCCGCCTATCTCTGAATCTCACCGCGATTTTGTGATGGCTGATGCAATCGACACGGCAGTGCTGCGATTCTAAAGCCAACAATCACAGGAGGCCAAAAGGGGTTTTAGCTTATGGGGGTTAAAGTAGGGATTAGGCTTCCCATAATAGGGTTCATATTAAGGAATCCCTACCCCAAGAATCTTAAACCCGCCCCTTTGGCCTCCCATCAAACAAGGCCAAGTCTGACACCGGGTCAGGAGATGAGCCAGGGTGCACAAGACGAGGACGAGATTCTGAACGTCAGCAGCTGGGGCGCCGTCTACGACGAGATGCACCATGGGGGAGTTACCGAGAAGTCTGAAATCACCGCCCCAAGCCCGGAAACCCCAAGGTGAAAGCGTAGTCTAGATCTTCACCCTGGAACCAACTAAAGGTGAGTAACAGCTATTTATGAAGTCGTTGATATGTTCCAAGATTTCTTGCAGTAGAGCTTGCACTTTACCTCTTAAGCTGTTGAAGAAGCTCGCAGGTACAAGGAGACCGACAACAGCGTCTCTGCCCAGGAGTGTTCAGGGGTTCTTCGACGAACTGGTTGCAATATTCCCTATAGTAATCATATAGTCATCTAATGATATTTACCAGGACCCTACACTCAACTGGAGCGGCTACACGGACACTTACTCGCGCCGGCCTCACATCGAGCCTGTCATCAAGGAGTGGGTGGAGTGGAGCTGTGAACAGGCGCGGTTCCTCTAGGCTCAGGAGGGCGCCGGGATTAGCCAGGCTTTAGGGTTTACGGTTTAGGGTTCAGGGTTTGGGTTGAGGGTGAACAGGTCCTGAATCCCAGGGGAGTGATGTGAACGCAGGCTTTGGCGGGGTCTTGGCCAGTCTGCATCAAGTTTGGGGCTTGTCTTTGGGTGTGTACTGTCGTCTGCTTGAACCTACATGCCGGTGGTGGACTGGTCAAGGATAGGTTACACATGCAGGCTAACTTGTTCTGACTGCGAGTCTGCGAAGCCCTACGCCTCCAGCCCAATGATGCCGTCGAGTTTGCACCAAAGCCTAAACCCTGAAATCCTGGAGTTGAAAGCTTCAGGGCTTCCAGGCTTGGCTACTGGCTTCTGTTACGAGTTCAATAGGCAAACGGCCCGAAGTAGCGAATGCACCGTGAATCCACCGCACCATGAACAAACCCCAAAGCACTCGACACCCAGGGAATCTCCAAGACATGAAGACCACTTCATGTCCTGGGATCCTGTGATACCACCCGGACTACAAAACAGAAACCTGCGAATGCACTCCTAAACCCTAAACCCTAACCCCTAAATAAATCCCGAAGCCTTCCACCCTGGACCCTGAACCCCAAATGCCAACATCCGAACAGGTCTCTGCTCATGCGGGCCTCCTGAGAGAGGGGAGCTGGCGCAAGGGGAGGCCAACCATCACCGAGCTTGGCTGTGGCAGCCAGGGCAGCATGATAGGACCGGATTTGTAGGGTTTAGGGTTTGGGGAGGTTCAGGGTTTAGGGATTTAGGGTTTAGGATTAGGGTTTGAATTAGGGATCAGGGTTTAGGGTTTAGGGAGGTTTAGTGTTTAGGGATCGAGGTGGCCGGGATGCCCCAGAAAGCTCCCTGAATGCCTTGATGCTTGCTCCTCCCGCTTGCTCCTCCCCCGCAGTACGAAAGCGCTGCCAAGTGAGAGATCCCCCACCCTTCGCCTTAGAGCATGGAAGCGCTAGACTGTAATGTAGGAGCCTAAGAAATTACCAATGCTATTTTGGGGCTTCCGTATTATAATTAAAGGATAATGGGACCCCTAAACCCGATTCGAATTCTTAAGGCCCCTATAGTAAGTAGACATGAGCCGGGGCTTTGCAGCCGAAACACTCAAAGCCGAAAGGCACACAGCTGGCTTGAAGGCCATGAGCATAGACAGGAGTTTCCGAAACAAGGGGCACCGTATTTTGGGGTCCTTATAATGAGGATCCTACTATTTAGGATACTTTATTGGGGTCCCCTATCCTCGGAAACTCCCATACAGAAAGTTCGTAAGCGAACACAAGTTAACACTAGTCAGTAGTTAGCCTACAACCACGATCTGCTGCAATGCCAGCATAGCACATTGGAATGCGGTTGTACCAGCACGAGCCCGGTATACGAGTAGTACCACAGTCTTTGAACCGAGGAATACAGAACTATCCAAGAGCCATCTAGTCCTTTTTTCTTGCAGCCCTTTTTTCCTGCCATAGTCCTGCAGGCAGTTTAGGGATCATGTGTGGTGCTGGTTGCAAATGAGGCAACGGTATGCTTCTGTTTCGGCTGGCACCACTTCTGGGCGAGACTGGGAGGCATGCCGGGGACTGGGGCATGCAGCAAGTAGAGAAGGGTTTTGGTGGTATATTGTACTATAATCATGACAAGGAGCCCCCCACACTAATATTGGTGTTATTTAGGCTCCTCTAGTAGCTTAGTATGTAAGGATCCACAGAAAGCCACGGTCTGTGCTTGAGCCCCAAGGTGCCAGGTTTGTTTGTGAACATTGCTGGATTAGCCGTGCGGCTGCTCATTTTACTGCACAGAAATCATAGGAGGCCAAAAGGGGCTTTAGCCTGTGGGGGTTTAGTAGGGATTAGGGTTCCCATAATAGGGTTCATATGAGGGAATCCCTACCGCAAGACTCTTTACCCCCCTTTTGGCCACCCATCAAGAAAAATCATGGTGAACAGGCGGTGAAAGGTCAATAAGGATCCTACTATTTAGGGTGCTATATTGGGGTCCCCTATTTTCGGAAACTCCCAAGTTGCCAAGTGCTGTTTCGTCAGTCCCCTCAGGTTTGAGAACTCACCGACTACGAAGGGTGGGCACCGCCTTAAGCGGCTTTGTAGTTTTTTCTTCACGCTTCGTTTAGTAGGACGGGTGCTTTATTGAATTGCCATGTTAGTGCTTCTGGCCGCATGCTTACTGCTGTTTTGTTCTGGTGTTCAGTGGTTTTTGCTTTGCAATCCTGTTTGGGTGGACCTTCGAGGACATCCCAGACTGGCGGGTTTGTTTCCCAGTGCACATAAGCAGTGTTATGATATGGGTGGTTGTCAAAATTATGGTCCCTTTTTGGGTACGTAATACAATAAGGCACCTAATATTTAGGGTACCCAAAAAGGGACCCTAATTTAGACAACTACCCATATGAAGAGGTCATCGCACAAGGTATCCTTCTGAACAGCACTGAAACTACCCGGCCTTCTCCGAAAGGGTTTGTCCCGGTTTAACACAAAATCCACATTTACCCTAAACCCTAGACCCAAATACAAAGTATATACCATGCACTATATGCACGATATACAAAACTTCTATATACCATACACTATATACGAAAAACCTATATACGATATACGACAGAACAGGTACATTGGCACCGACATCTCAACGAGGGCACTGGAGACGGTAGCGGAGCTCAAGCGCACGTTGCCGCAGCACCTGGGTTTTTCTGGATTTCTCGTTCCTCCTCCTCCTCCTCCGCCTCAATCCTAAACCGTAAACCTTAAACCTCATCATCATTCCCATCATCCTTATTGTTATTCGTTTTTAGAGACGTCATCATCATCATCATCACCACCATCGCCGTTGTCGACCGCCGTCGTAGTCGTTTTCGCAGTCGTCTTCCGCATCTGGACCTTGACATGCCTCATCGCAGCAAGATGAGCAGCAGAGCCAAGCGAACTCGATCTCGATGTTTCCTGAGGCTGGGCGATGCCTCGACTGAAGCAGGGTTTAGGGTTCAGGGATGTGGTGACCGAAGGGTAGGTTCGCAGTGAGCAACTACCGGTAAAGCCGCCTTACCTGACATGAACATGAAACAGCGGAGCGATCTATGCAGTTTATCTTTATTTGTGGGAGACGAGTTCCTATCTCCGGTCGAAATCGGCGACAAAGGTACCAGCACCTGAATGTCGACACGAAGGCCTTGGCCGCACACGAGATCTTCGAGGTTGTGCAGGCGCGTGAAGCACAACGCTGCTTGATAAGACTGCCAGCTCTAGCGGCGGTAGATATGTCCATGTGGGTGGTTGTCAAAATTATGGTCCCTTTCTGGATCCTTATTACAATACGGCACCTAATACTTAGGGTACCCAAACAGGGGCCATAATTTTGACAATCACCCATGTGCATGTCCATGACCTTATATTAAAGCAAGTGCTTGCGCGCCGCGGGTCGTACCCGATGCTGCACTGTACCTCCAGTGGCTCCATGCTTGCAAGGTGGAAGGCTTTTCTTGATTTTGATAACTCTGCCTCATAACCTCAGCTTTCTCTAATTTTCGGGTTTGTCTGCGAAGCAAATGTGCCAATCCTTAGACATGAGTATCCCGAACATGAGTAAATCGACATCACATCCACAACCTGTGAACCGACACCATGGTATGGTGGTTTCCGCACCTACCCCGAGACGACAACGCAGAGGTCTGAATAACTTAGTCGGAGTATCACCTGACCACCATATGTTGTACTACGCCTGAAAGCCTTGTTACTTTGTTCTATAGTTGTTAACGCATTTTAAAGCCCCTTTGTTACCCCCCCCCCCCGTGTGCCTCTCCGCCGCGTCAGGCGCAGGAGAACGATATCGTCTTGTGCAATGGCGTGACGATGCTGCTCGGCGAAGCCTGCTACTATAGGGGCCTTAATAATTAGAATAGGGTTTTGGGGTATACGATACTATGGCTACAATAAGGAACCCCGCAAAATAGTGGTATTAAGGCCCCTACATTAACCTTTATGGTTTAAGTGAGCTTCAGAGTTCTGAGAGTCTGCCAGGGACCCAAGGAGCATCTGCATGTCATTATGGTTCCACTCAACTTGCGTCCCTCCCAAACTTTTCCATTTTTGGGCTAAGGTATTTCCCCACGGCCAACTATCTGCTGAAGTGCATGCAGCTCTCGGCGGAGGCTTGGGGGCTCGACAACAGTCAGAGTTAGAAGGGTGATGTAGACGCCGTAAATAATTACCAATAGGGTTCCTTGCAGGGTTGCCTGACATACTTATGGTAGAGCAGATGCGGAATGCCCTATTCTGACTATAAGGGCCCCTATCTTTGGATTTGGGTGTCTGTCGGTGAGTTTGGGTGGCTTTGGGTTTGGCAGCTTCCAGTTCAGGGCGTTTGGTATTTAGGGCGTTAGAGCTTGCGATTTTGGGGGTGCTGGGTTTGGGTACCATCAACCCGAAAGGGTACCGGGTACATCAACTTCCATGCCTGTCGGGATGGTCAAAGAATGGGGTGAACTGTTGGGGCATGTTGAGGCCCTCTCTTTGCTATGAAGGCCAAGTGTCCGGGAAGTGGCGACTCCCTAAAACAAGCCCACGCCAAAACAGCTCCCATTGCCCAGTCGAATCCAAAAATGTTCTTAAGGGTGGGTTTAGGGTTTAGGGTTTCATGACAAAGTTGCAAGTAATTAGGAGGAGCATCGCTACAGATCTCCGAAAGGTGAGTAGAGTTGCAGGTAGGAGGAACATAGCTACAAAAAGCCAAGGAGCCGGATGACTGTCCTGGCACGATTGCCTAGTAGTCGAGTAGGTAACCTTTAACCTTGATACCCGGTAGTATAGTCCCTATATAACCCCTTATATAACCAAAAAGGTTAGCTAATGATACCCGACAAGTAGGATTGCCTTCCTCCGACCGAAGCCCAGTCTGAACCCGGGCCTTCAGCTCCAAATCGATGCAAAGTAGAGGCTGATACATTACGAGTTAACGGTCGTGTAGATGGAACAGAGACGGAGAAGCCCTGAACCCCAAAGCCACATGGGTATCAAGCCCCCTGGCCAAATCCTCTGATGAACCCTAGAACACGTTTCTAGAAGGCAGCTGCCTAGAGCAACAACACACAACACAGAAATCTGAGTAACTGAATAAGTCACACTTGGTTCCGTAAGGCTCCCTCATACCACCAAAGCCTAATTCCGACTCCGATGACGGTCCCGATGCTAAACTGTACGAAGCAATGTAAGTAAAGCCCTTATAAACCCGTAGTGCAAGCCCTTATACAAACCAAGTCTCGCTATTATATATATATATATATAGATGTATATAGTTCCCAGTATTACATCCGGAGCTCGCCGATCAAGGCCACTCGCGACGGTGGCCTAGTCGTCTATGGCGACATCCAAAGCCGGCGCCATGTGCTTGCCTTCCGGGCACACGTCGAGACGTACCAGGCCGGTCACGCTCGAATATATACTAAAATATAGTACAGTATAGTGTGTATTGTCATGTGATGGTAACATATCATGTATGTATGTACTGTACGTATGTAATGCAACGTAACATAGTAATAGTGTACTGCATATATGTGCGTATACATACATACATGCATGCGTACATACACCTAGCTCCGGGAACCGAAGGTTTGAGCACCTCGTGTCCCTGTGTACAATCGTGTCTCAGAATCTCGGGTTTGGACTTTGGGGTGAGGGTTTACGGGGTTCCGGACTGCACTTTGAGAGGTGAAGTCTGCACCTAAGCAGAGCCTTCCTAAACCGTGAAGATGATGGAAGCACGAGCGCGAGTTAGAAAGTCTATCCATGAAGATGCGTCGCTCCCACTGAAGCTCCGAACTGTCAAGTCCGAAGCCTGGAACTCTCTTGGCATGCTCCAAGTCTTCAACATGTGAAGCTTGCGTTGAGGACGCCTTTCTTTTCTGGAACTTCCTTAGACCTGAAAGCCCTAGGCTCATACACAATCTCAGTGGCCCGAGGCCCTCCGTCGACAAGATGCCACTGCTTCGGCGGTCCTGCATGCGGCCAAGCAGAGCGTAGCAGGCAACTGTCGAGAATCTCAGGGGCAGAAGGATTTGTGCCGCCTTGCAGTTTGGGGTGAGCCTTTCGGAGTTAGGGATGGTGAAGCTGTGACTTGTGGGTTTTGATATCATGTTGGCCCCGAGGGTTTAGAGTTCCGAGGGTTTAGAGTTGCGCTTCGGGATTAGGATGCAAGTTTTGTACGCGAGAGAGTCACAGAGAGAGAGAACTTTGCTTTTTTGCCACTGACTTCCCACTGCAAGGGGCCCGCAGCCATCTCCTCTTTCATGCCAACCTTCCGACCGCCGGCGCAAAGCTCGTGTTTCCTACTGCTCTTAAGTGAACCATGCAAGCCCCAAACCTTCATGGGCAAAGCCTAAAGCCCCGGCCTCAGACTCGAAACCCCTACACGCCCTTGGAATAGCCCTTAGACCTTCAAAAGCGCTTAAAGTGAACCTGACAGGAGAGGAGTTATCGTACTTCGACGATGCACTCTTCCATCGGTTGGATCGCAATGGGCATGGGCTCTTCCAGGAGGGGGAGGGATCTTTTCCGTTGAGGTCTGAATACAGCAGTAATATTCTCATGTCAAGTATGCTGTGATGTTCCGAAAAAGAGGGGTGTTTGGGTTGTCGAGGTTTCACTCGCTAGGTTATGGTGATACTGAAACATATATGTAATCGCTACCAATTGGAACTGCTGCTTTCCACCCTAAACATTCGAGACGTTTAGGAGTTCGATTCGATTTGCTTCTCTGGATGTTGTTAGCGCTTATCATATAGACGGCGGCCACTTGAACTCTGCAAAAGTCGCAGCAGAAGAGGCAAATTGACCCTGTCTTTATTCTGCATGTTCAGCCCGATGCGAGCACACACACACCCCAAAAGTCTGCAAGGCAGTGCTGCTACTTTCGGGGCGTAAATAATTGCCAATACTATTGTCGGGGTTCCGTATTCTAGTTATGGTATCATCGGCCTCAAAACCCTATTCATTATTAAGGCCCCTTTTTTTATGCTGCTACGTACCGGCCTCGTCCCGAAGCCCCGGCCTCAGAACCGCCTGGCCCGCGTGGAGCTTCGCGTGAAGCGTGGTTGGTGGCACTCCGAGTTCAACCGCTTCCGGCTTCCCGGCGCTAAGGGTCTATAAGGGATCTACAAGGGTACTATGATATAGGGGCCTTAATATTACTTAGAATAGGGTTTTAGGGCCCATTATACTATACATATAATCAGGAACCCCCAAAACAGTATTAATAAGTAGTCAGGTTTGAGGGTTTAGGGCATAGACAGCTCTCTGGAATGCTGTTTCGGTTTATGTCAGTATCGATTGGTATCTGACAGCTTACAATGATTCTTCGATGTTTCTAGCTGCCTGGACTATTCGGCAGGGAGAAAATCCTGTGAAAGCTGTTCTAATTCGACATTTTCTGAGCATGGCGTGCCGTGGTATCTATGTGGAAGTGGTCGTATGCTGAACTCCAATTCGCGACCATTCGCGACCGCTCGTTTTGAGAAAGCTGTAAAACACACCATTCAGATGCACGCTATACACAGACAAGCCCACCTGAAATCAGGTAAACCCTAAACCCCAAACCTTTGGATGGCTTGCCGACCTACGGTTTCCTTTTCGTTCTAGCTTCTACAGTTTGCGGTGTTGAAAATCTTCCGCCGCTGTGCATGGCTCAGTCGTGTAAAAGGGGCCGAATTTGCTCGCCTCCCGTAGGGGCCTTCAAAAAAGAAACCTGGGACTTGAAAAAAGGAGCAAAAAAACCGAAAGCCCGAGAATTGAAAAGGAACACTTTACAGGCACCCTATTCTATTTATTGTAGACCCTTTAAAAGGAACACTTCAAAGGAACCCTGTTCTATTTATTGTTGAATTCAAAGCGTGTGAGTGAGACTCCGAGCCGACAGGCGGGTGTCCCGAACTCTGATCATGATGCTCCGACACATTCTGGTAACGCTGGCACCTGGTCGTCGTCGTCTTTGTAGGAGTGTAGTCAGTGTGGTCATCATAGCAATGATGTTTTTTTCGGCATTGCGAGTCATAATATGGAAAAGAGCAATAAATGGCCAGAGTGAATCTTCATAATTAGTTACCAGTATTAGCAGAACCATTTACAATAGCCGAAACATTCGCAATAATAGCACTACATCTCAACAGTACTGACAGCAGTCATGATGAGCGACCTTAGAACCCTGAGGGCTCCTGCGTGCTTGCAAGTGTCCATGCGGGTTCGGGGATCTTCCGACGGGTGAGAAAGCGTGCGCCGTGGGTTTGGGTGTCTTTTGTAAGGGATTTGGGGCGTTACGGCTTTTTGGGCTTTCTAGGGGTCTATATCGCTGCAGTGATTTATAGTGTTTGGGTTTGAGGGCTGTGTGGATTGAAATTAAGAGCCGCCTACGTGTAAACCCTGGATCCCAAAGAGCCTCGAAGGTACGACGTGTGGCTGGTCTTGGGTGAGAAGGACTGTCTTCACTTAGTGCTACCGTTCTCATGGTTAATATTGCATATGGCTACTATTTCGGATAATTCCAGGTTTATTACTACTCTACCTTTCCTTTTACGAATGTTCTTGCAAGTAGTACTCTTGTGACTACTGAAGGAGGAACGGGAACCGAAGTTCGAGATGATCAGCTACGAGCAGGTGCAGCAGGACGAGCTTGTATTCCCAAGTGTTTGTTTACGGCCTCAGGGTCTGTGTGGTTCGCAGTTTGGGGTGCAAGGGTCTTTATTCGGAAAACTATGGCTTGGGAAAACAGTTCGAGGTAGTCGTTTTAGCGCTTTGGGCCGGCTCTGTGCCCCGGTCAGAGCCTCGAACTAGGTCCCGTGATTCTCCGACAAAGTAGACCGTGAGGGTAGAAAAATCCTGTGTTTAAAGGACCCCTAGTAAGTACCGGCCCCGTAATTTTCTGAAGCTCCCAACAGCTGCCTGCCTTTTGTATTGCAACAGCCGAGCCCCAAAAAGCTCAAACCTTCTAAAATAGAGCGAATATATAAGGCCAAAAAATTTAAAGTTCCCCCGTTCCCTATCTAAGTCATTAACATCGGGGCCGTAATAGTCCGTAATGGTTAGAATAGGGGTTTTGAGGGGATTTCATAGGCTAACTTCATACGAACTAGAAGGGGGATGGCATCAGTGATTTTTCCGATCCTGCAAGATCCATTCCGGGTTGCTCTAAAAGGGGCTTGCTCTTTAGAGAGTTATCATGATTACAGGAAAATGGGCCCCAAAACCCTTGAGGCCCCTAAACATTATTCTACATGTGTGGAGTTTCCGATTATAGGGGATCCTAACATAGTAGCCTAGATAGCAGGATCCTCATTATAAGGACCCCCCAAATCAGGTACCCCTAATTCTCGGAAACTCCCATGTAGATAATGAGGAGCTCCAGTTGGGCGACGGCGACGCCAATGAGCTCGTGGACTCGCGGCTGGTTGAGAAGCTGGAGGCAGCGCTGTGTCGAAGTGCTGACATGGGTGCAGGTCATTCGATACTTCAATATACCAAAAACACCATTTTAGTATACTTGACTGTAGAATACACTGTAAGATACTTGCATGGACTATAGTACTATGATACCTAGGAGCCCTGTGTTCCAGCCGCAAACAGCGGCCCAGTCTTGGGGGGGGGACGCCCTAAACCCAAAACCCCAAACCTTAAACCCTAAACCCTGAACCCTGAACTCTAACCCTTAGTCGGTTCCTGTGCAGGATTGGGTCGCCCAGCGGTTGAAGGCCGTGGAGAGCGCTGGCGAGATGGACGGCTTCGTGGTCACCCTGCTCCTTGGCGAACATTATAGTGCAGTGTCGTGTATGAAGGTACTTTTGTAGTATACTATATTATACGTAATAAATACAGTATACTGTACTGTTTACAGTATACGACAAGTAGTATACTAGAGTACCAACTTTTACAGTTTATCGTAGTATCGTCCGCATGTTATAGTACGCCACAGTTCATGACACGATGCTACAGGATGTAATAGTATGTTGTAGATGATTTTAGTATGCTATAAGTATATTACAGCATGCTATAGGTCATCATCGTATGTTATACTGTAAGGAATATACCATTATTCCCATAGTTTGGGGTTCCGAAGGTACTGCAGGATTAGTATCGCCAACCGTAGTATCTTATTGTATCTTCTGACCATTCTGAGCTCTCCGAGCCCGAGCCTAAAGCGCCAAGGACCAAGGACTGCAAAACCCCGGCCTTTCAAAAACCCCTAAACGATACTATGGTATACTATAATATACACTACTACACTATAATGTACTGTAGTATGCTGTAGTATACTATGACTATACTATACTATACTATAATATACTATACTATACTATACTAGATACCGCACTATACCGTCCTGTATACAGTAACGCATCGCCCCGGCACCGAACAAAAAGAAACAACTAAACCGACAACCCTAAACCCTCAAAGCCGAACCTCCCATAAACTCCCTGAGGCCGAATGCCCTAAAACCCTAAACCCTAAACCTTACACCATCCTAATCGCGAAACCATCCGAAAGCCTAAACTCCCCGAGGCCGAATGCCCGTACCTTCCACGCAACGCGGCTGCTGGAGTGGCTGGAGACGGCCGCCGCTGCGGTGGAGCCGGTGGAGCTCTCGAGCCTCCTGGCTTTTGGCGGGGCACTGTAATGTACCAAAGCATACTGTACGGTACTATTATAATATACTATACTGTACTAGATACCGTACTATAGCTAAAGAAGAAGGAGAAGTTTGCTAGGGCCTTAAGGGCTTCCTAAAGGGTTTAGGGTTCAGGCTTCAAGGGTTTCCTGAAGGCTAGCGTCGAAGCTCTCTGCCACGAGTAACCTAGAGAGTATACCTTAAATTATAGTAGGATCCCTTATATGATTTAAGGTATATTCCTTAATTAAGGGATATTGGAGTCTCTGGGAACCCCAGGCCACAATGATCCTTAGGAGACTTCGGACTGAGGTCTTCCGGGTCTCCTTCACCCCGCAGATGCCTGCTCCGGCCCCTGCGGCGTGCATTAGGCTTAGACTTTAAGGTTCAAGGGTTTGGGGGTTTAGGGGTTTTAGGGCTCAGGGTTTAAGGTTAAGAGGGTTCGGGGTTTAGGGGTTTAAGGTTTAGAGTTTAGGGGTCTAGGGTTCAGGGCTTAGGGTTTCCGGTGCATGGGGCTTGGGTTCTCGGGATGTCTAGTCTCAGGGTTTAGGTGAAGGCTTTGGGTGCTAGGGTTTCTGTGGATCCTACAGCATCTGAAAGCCCTGAACCCTAAACTTTAAACCCCTCAGAGCCCTAAACTGCCCTAAAACCTAAAGCCCTGAAGCCCTAAAGCCCTGAACCCTAAACCCTCAAGCCCTAAAGCCCTGAACCCTAAACCCAAAAGCCCTCAAGCCCTGAACCCTAAAGCCCTGAACCCTAAACCCAAAGGCCCTAAAGCCCTGAACCCTAAAGCGGCCAGTGGCCCCCCAAAGCCAAGGCAGCGTCCGAGAGAGCGCCAAGTTCGGCGTGGAGCCGGAGATGCTATTCACCCTGGAGCTCCCAGAAGGCGGGGCCTCCGACGGTTGATGATGTGGTTTAGGGTTTAGGGTTTAGGGACCGTAGACTGTGGGATTTATGGTATATTCCTCATTATGGGTCTCACCCTGGAGCTCCCGGAAGGCTCCAGGGCTTACCGTTGGTTAGTAGGGAATGGAGGAATGGGGTACAACTATAACTACTATTACCATTCTTCCATTCCCTACGAACCAGCGGTAAGAGGGGGGGCCTCTTAGTTTAGGGGCCAGGGTTTCCGGCTTAGGGTTTAGAGGTCTAGGGCTTAGGGTTTAGGGGCCTAAAAATTTACCTATGCCATTTTGGGGTTCCTTAGTACATCTACAGTAGACCTCGAAACCCCATTCTGATTATAAAGACCCCTATACTATATTATGCGCGGAGAGCACAGTGCCCTTTAATGAAGGAGTATACCTAAACACCATAATAGTTTAGACCCTTATAATTGAAGGTATCTTCCTTACTAAAATTGCGGGGTATTGGGCTATTTGTGTGATGGTTCATATTTCTATACCTGTAGAGTGAAGGGTTCTGTCGTGTCTGGGATTTGAGGGTGTCCGGGGACTTTGTTTTGCGGTTTTGCGCGAAATCTCGGTGTTCAGGTCGTTGCTGGCCGTTGAGTCGTGGTGCGACTAGCATGGAAACCTTTCAGTCGACGGGACATGCTCTTGCTTCTCAGAGACTTCTAAACGCAGGCGTTGGTAATTGAAGCTCTTTATCCTTCTCCTTCGGGTTGCTCTGAGGTGCATTTACCATGAGGAGCTCAACATGCTTGTTTTTGGTGAGAGCGCCTGGTGTGCGTCCTGTACGTCCCCTCACTTTTCTTGGGTGGGGGGGGGTGGGGGTGGTGGGTGGGGGGGGCTAATTCCGGCCAGGCCTGACCCTTAACTCCCAGAACTGCGGACTTCTGTCGCAGGCAGGCCCAAGCTCTAGTTCTGATCGAAGCCATGTTTCCTTAGGGTCATATGCCGAACATACCGGAAATTACGGTGTGTTCGGCACTTGCTACAACCCACGTCGAAACCATCCATGGGTGGTCAATGTTATTGATGCAGAGCATCCATGGGTCAACCATGTTAACGTCCACTCAGACCAAATCTCATTGATGCAGAGCATCCATGCATGGGTCAACCATATTAACGTCCACTCAGACCAAGTTTGCGCAGCTCGGTGCTTTTGCGCCGGTCACGTACCAGGCGCTCTTACCTTGTTTTTATTGGTTTGCATCACTTTCTCTTCGCTATATGACCATCTATACTGGAGCCTTCGCGTGTTGTTTGGGGTAGCTGAAAAGCACCCGAGTTCCCCACTTTTCCATCGTTGAGCGTTGTATTCGGCGCTTGCGTGTTTGGGGATGGAATTTTGTGAAGCTGTGTTTCTGAACATTTTCGGCCTCTGAAGATCCTGACTGCTTCTATGAAGCAAGGCACCTGAAAGGGAGCTGTGTTTTGGAGTCCACCCCTGAAACAAGGCTGGGAGCAGCGAGTGATTTGGGCCGAGGACAACGGGCGGGCTGGCTCGTGATTGCCTCAAGAAGTTCAGCTCAGGGCTTCACGGGACGAGTAGAGAGGCCCCAAAGAAGCACATAAGCAAAATTAGGATAGGGATATCCCCATAAAATGCTTTTGCTTATGTGTTGTTGGGGTCCCTAGTATGACCGATTATCACCTCGGCCCACGATGGTCGACGCTCCAACCACGAAGCCCAACAAAAGACCCTTTAGGACCAAAAGCCCCGGGGCTTTTCAGCCCAAAGCCTTTACGTAGTCTCCGGAGTCTCGGAACGACTACAATCGACCTGTGGAAACACAGACAGCATTGATCTGACGCGTGCGCGAGGATCCGGGCTTCCTGTGCCGCGGCCTTTCGGGGGTTTGGGGTTTCGGGGAAGAGTATCTCCTTAACATATGGCCTCCAAAATGAGACAGTAGAAGTTACACTAACTGTCATTTAATGGGATTTAATGTACCCCAGATGTGTTCGAGGACTTCGGGGGCTTCGGGGTTTTTAGAGTTTTGTTGTGCAAAACCAGGCTGACTTGCAGGGCTTTTGTTTCTGTGATTCTTGGGGTTCGGCCTGGTTTGTGGCTCCTGTTACAGTATATAAGTGACTGCGTGGTTAGGGTGAAGGTTTAAGGCAGCGGGTTTGGTTTGTGGACCCTTTTCGGAAGTTGTGTCCTGACATTAGCCGTCTGTGCCGTTGGTTTTGTTGGCCTTAAACCCCAAGGCCCCAAACCCAAAGCTCTAAATCCCTAAACCCCTAAACCCCTAAACCCTAAACCCCTAAACCCCGAAACCCTAAACCCTCAAGCCACAAAACCCAAAGCTCTAAAGCCCCAAACCTTGAGGCGCTTCGTGGTGCTCAAGAGCGAGGCGTCGAAATGCTCCTGGCTGGCGGCGGCCACGGCGGCTCCGCGGGAGGAGCTTCCGCGATTTCTTAGATAAATGGGCTTTGGGGTGTCGGTTTGGGGTTCGCAAGGTTTGGGGCCAGTTTAGGGTGTAGGGTTTTCGGATTTTTTGTGGTGGTTGCGGTTCGGGGTTCAGGGCAGAGGGTTGTGGGGATAAGGACCTTCCACCCACAACCGTCTCCAAAGCCAACAGACGACTTAGGCCTTGACCATGGGAATCCTCGCCTCCGATCCTCCAGCCTCAGCCACTGGGGTTTAAGGGGTTTAGCACGTTTGGTTTAGGGTTTAGGCGTCTATTTCGGGTTCATTCCCCATTCAAGTATCGACCATGATCCGACTCAAAGCCCTCTACTTGGAGGTTCATGGGTAGTTATAAGTAGGGCTACAAGTAGGGTAACTATACTTCTAACCCCAATATCAGGGGGACTTATAACCCCACTTATAACTACCCCTGAACCTCCAAGTAGGTCTAGTTCCCTCGATGCAAACAAGGTTTCGGGCCTGCCGGCATAGAGTTTATGGGGGTTCGAGTTGTGAGGTTCCGAAATTTGGGGGTACCTTTTTTGGGGATCCTTTAAGGGTCCCTGAAAGAGATCTATATGGGTTCTATAAAGGGGTTTGGCGTGCGACTTTGGGTGGTTCAGTGTTGAGGTCAGGGGGCTTTATGCCCTCATACCTAAAGTGTTCTTGACTCTAGACAAGGTATTGTCCCAACCTGAACCCCCCAAGATGCAATATTATAGGGATTTGAATACTCTAATCCCTAATCCCTAATCCTTTAAGCCCTAAACCCTACCCCCTAAACCCTAAACCCAGAATTCAATGGTCAGCAACTAATAAGATACCGTCTTGTGTCGGGCCAAGAGAGGAGCTTCCAGAAGACCTGTCCGCCTTCAAGAACCAGCCGGAGGAGGGATTCTTGAGAGCTCGGTTCATATGGGACGTTTCTGAAAATAGGAGTACCTAATTTTTGGGTCCTTATAGTAAGGATCCTACCATTTAGGGTACTATATTAAGGCCCTATTTTCTGAAACTCCCATATCATTGTTAAGTTAGGGTTATGGTGATCATCATTCCTGTGGTTGTTCTTGTTGGGTCTTGAGAGGAGCGGTGCACTCATATCAGAAAGAAGGATCCCTGTCTTTTGGGTTCTGGCCAGAGGGGGGTTTTAGGGGATTTGAGGGAAGTCAGCCCCTACTTTAGGCGGGGTTATCGATTTGCGATTTGGAGATTGGGGGAAGTATCGAACGGATGGTACTGATGGCAGCTGCTTTGATGCTATTCGTCCCTGCAGGAAGAAGATGGTAGGAATGTCGGTTCATGAGGTGCTTGCCTACCTATACCCGGGTTTTTATGGGCGGGAATAATCACCGTAGTAGTAGAGTAGGTAACCTTTAATGTTTTTGGGGTAGTATTGTCCCTATATTACCTATATAATCCATATATAACCAAAAAGGTTAACCTCTAGTTCCCCATGATACCCGACAAGTAGGTCACTGCGAGCTCCTGATCGCTACCTCAACCTGTAACTGTGAGACCCGAGAGGCTAAAGTCCTGAACGCCCCTTTATCCGTCCACCTTAATATGGGAGTTTCCAAAAATTAGGGGTACTGTATTCTGGGGTCCTGATATATCAAGGATCCTACTGTTTAGGGTACTAGATTAGGGTCCCCTGTTTTCGGAAACCCCCATATAACAGGATACTAGAAAAGAAATATAGTTAATGCACAACATTGTTAGCTTTGAGTCCCAAGCCCTCCAGAGACTCGACGCCTCTTGGCTGCAGGACGTGGAGTTTAGCTTCAACCCCGTGAAGGCTTGCAACGATTTGATGAAGGCCAGGGAAGCGAAAAGGGAGGTTGGAGACTTCCGGGCAGGCCAAGGGCACCTTCTAAGCCGACGTTTCCTTTGAACTTCTTTGGAGGATTGCTTCCGAATGCAGGTAGGGTTGCAGGTCTTTATTGTAGAAGACTGAGGTCCACATTGCTCTGCTGGCTTCTGCAAGTTCTGAGCAGGCATGGGCCGCGGGTACTTCGCTTCTGCCGGCCATGCGGCCATCCGTCTACATCCCACTCGAGGCCTGGTCCTGGGCTTTCCAGGCTGCAAGCGTGGCGTCCCAAACCACCGAAACGAGAGCCCTCAATCCCAGACTTTCAACACTGGACCCTTAACCCCCAAGACGCAATCGCAGGCCTTTCCCAAGAACGCCGCCGGAAAGATTGATCGGGCGGCCCTGCCCGATGCTGTTAAAGCGTTCGAGGCAACCTTGTATTCGCCGGATTACGTTTTGGAGTGGGGCACTGGGCAGGGTTTAAGGCTTAGAGATGCTTAGGGCTTCGGGCAAAGTACACGGATGTTCACGCAGGGGATCTTAGGATTCGGGGTTTACGAAACTTCCTTCTGTACCCCCACTTGCGAAAGTTGTGATTTGAGCGTGCGCTGTTGCTTTAACCAAAGAAGCTTGAAGTGAAATTTGGAGTTCAAGACTTGCTTTCGGTGTGAAAACCTGCGAACAGTATTAGTATTAGTATTATATATGTATATTTATTTATTTGTTTATACTTATAAGCAAATGAACAAATGAAAGTTCATTGGTAAATATAGATAAATATTTATTTTTGTATTCATGTTAGGCAAGACATGTGTACACACACATGTAGAGAGAAAGCGAGAGATAGTAGTATCATCAACAAGAGCAACACTTTGATACAGCCCCATGGGCCTGTCGGGGCTTTACAGACGTGCAGAATGTTCGTCAGCGTGGTCTCGCACATATGAGTGGTTGTCAAAATTATGGTCCCTTTCTGGGTCCCTATAGTAGTACGGCACCTATTATTTAGGGTACCCAAAAAGGGGCCATGATTTTGATAACCACCCATATGGGTAGTTGTCAAAATTCAGGTCAGTTTTTGGGTACCTTAAATAATGGGTGCCGTATTACACTAAGGACCCAAAAAGGGATCATAATTTTGACAACCACCCATATCAGGGGTCGTGTTGCTTGGGGATTGGTCATGTGGCTCTCACGTTCCAGACCGAAAGTCCTAGAAACTTCCCGGAGGGATGGTATAACTCTAAACCCTAAACCATAAACCCCTAACCCTAAACCCTACAGTAACTCTAACCCCTAACTCTAAACCCATACTGTTGATGATATAAGTCCTGCGTTACCCATACTGAGGAATATACCATTATTCCCATAGTTTAGGGTCCTTAAGGTAATGCAGGATGTATATCATGCACCGTAGGACAGCTACAGAAAGGCCGAGGCGAAGCACAGCCTTGACCCGCTGACGGCAGAACCAAGAAAGAGAATCTAAACTAAACTCCGAGAGCTCCGCAAGATGTGTGCCCTAACCTCAAACTGAACCCTAAACACCTAAACCCTAAATCCCTAAACCCCTAAACCCTGAACCCTGAACCCTAAACCCTGCACCCCTGAACCCTTAAACCCTGAACCCTGATTTCACAAAACGAGCCGAGCCCGACATCCAGGAGATCTCGACCACCGCGGCGGCAGAATACGAGCCGCCCTCCACGGAGGAGGAGAAGACCATGGTGGAAATCTGGGAGAAGGTGCTGAAGGTTCAGGCGGGTTTCAGGGTTAGGTTTTAGGGCTCAGGCGGGTTTTAGGGCGAGGGCCAGTAAAGTAAACAAACATGGGCGGCCTGTACTGTATTCGTAATAGTCGAGTAGGTAACCTTTAACCTTTTTTGGTTAGTATAGCCCCTATATAATCCCCATATAACCAAAAAGGTTAACCTTCAGTTCCCCATGATACCCGACAAGTAGGGTATTGGTTTGGGGTATAATCTACTATGGTTGCACTAAGGAGCCGTAAGCAACCGGTGCTCTCTGATTAAGGCTCCTCTATGAGTCCTCCTACGGATGAGCTCCCGCGGAGCTGGGCATAAGGAGATGTGCATCCTTAAAACCCGGCGGTCTACGGGTTCAGGGTTTAGGGGTTTAGCGTTTAGGGGTTTAGGGTTTATACTTGGAGGTTCATGGGTAGTTATAAGTACGGCTATAAGTAGGATAACTATACTTCTTAACCCATGTCAGGTGACTTATAACCCCACTTATAACTACCCCTGAACCTCCAAGTAAAACCCTGCAGTCTAGAACCCAGTTGTGAACCTTCCGGACTACTTTCAGAGGTTGATAGCAGCAACTTCCCGTCAGCCACTACGGCTAAGGCTCAGAATTCCTAGCCGCTAGCCGCACCGAGTCCTCACAGTGGGAGTGAGTGTCCGAAACTCCGAGGAAGAAGACGAACCCCCCAAATCTCGGGATCCTTCGTATGGTCACCTCGAAGGGAGGCAGCCCTCAAATCAGGAAACCACCAAGTAGGTTTAGGGTTTAGGCCCTCAAATTAGGAAACCACTGAGCTTCGAAGCAGGTCGGGGTGCTCACGCCCTTCGTGGCCTACGGCGGCCACTCTCTCACTGCCGTGCAGCTCTGCTCCAGCGTCAACGCCGCCTTCAACCAGAGGCCCCCTTTACTACTCACGGTTAGGGGTTTAGGGGTTTAGGGTTTAGGGTTTAGCCCTTCAATACTACCCTAAACCCTAAACCCCGAACCCTAAGAACTTTCGGGTCAGGGCTATCTAAGCGCTGAGGTTCATCCCTTAAGCGCTTCAAAGGCTGGATCGGATGCAAAGCGAGCGGTTTCGGGATCTAAAAGAGTGGCCTTGATAGTTAGAATAGGGTTTTGGGGCCCATCATACTTTAATTATTTTCAGGATCTAATATAGTGGCCTTTATAATTAGAATGATGTTTTGGGGGGGCATCATACTATAAGTATTTTCAGGAACCCCCAAAGTGGTGTAGGTAATTAGTTGGGCCCCTATAGTAAGGGGTGCAATTGGCGATACCTCTGGGCTTTGGGTGTCGGCGGCTAGTATGCGGTAACGAGCAATTCAGGGCTCGAGGTTCAACGCTTGTACAGGCCTGCTGGTTCGCTTAATTCAGGCTCGGTGCGAGGATGTGGGCAAGGTTTTTCAGTAGAGGCTGCATGGACAATTCGGCAAAGTATGTAACGATCTCTGGAAGCACCTGCCCTGAATGCTGTAAATCACTAAACCTGATAGCACGTTTGAGTTGTCCTGGAAAGGGTTCTCCCATGTCCGCAACAATCGGAGCTGTCCCAGGGGGCTTACATGGGTTCGAGGTTGTCTGCAAAGCCCTCCGCAGAAGCGTAGTTGGCACATCACGCTGCTTCAAAAGACCCCAAACTCCTACAAGACCTGTGAGGTGTGGCAGTTGGGACACTCTTCCCGTGCTAGGGGTCTGCGTTCGATAGGAGGAGCACCTACTACAAGTCAAAGGTACTCCTTGCATGTAGCGATGATCCCTGAATGAAGGTATCCAGCGGTGGTCTGGGGGATGGATGTCTCACTGAACGCTGTTTTGGAGCTTTTGGCTTCCCTGAGGCCAGATTTGGTCTATTTGATGTCGGAGGACTGTACCGTGAGGGCTCTGTGCCGAAGCTGCATCTGTCAGGGTTCCCTCTATAGTACAAGTGTGATACAACCTACCCTCAGATCTAGATTGTGACGCCTTTGGGCACATTGCTGGCTCAGGCCACCTGTCTACTAACAGCTTCTGAGAGTGTTGATGAACACTGCTGCAAAAGCTCCCCAGCAACTCAACAGGTATCTCCGAACGCAGAGCTTCTGAAGACTTAGTTGTTGGCCTCCTTATGGTTTAGGGTTTTAGGGTTTAGGGTTTATGGCTTTGTGACTCTGGACGGTATGGAACCCGTATGGGACGTTCGTAAAACACTGACTTGAGAACTGCTATGTTAGAGCATAGCCCTGCTAGGACTGGACCAGATGCCTCAGAATGTTATAGAGGTCGGAATACTTACTAGTCGTATCACCGTGGACACCTTGGGGTTCGTCTGGTTTGCCTGGAAGCTCGGGAGGGTGTAGGGTTTGCGGTTCAAGCTCTTCAGGGTTTAGGGTTTTAGCTCTTGGGGTTTGGGGTTTAGGGTTTTAGGGTTGGGTTAACGAAGACCCCGCAACAAAGTACTGGAGAGGGCTTCGGAAAATTGCCTGAGGGACAGCACGGAGAGTAGGATCCCTTTTTTGGAATACAGTACAAGTAGACTCAACGAAGCCCAAGTAGACCCAACCCTATACTCATATCCCAATTGCGAAGGCCCAAAGCCCAACACCCTAAACACCACCTGGACTCCGAACTATACCACGATCCTTAGCTTTAAAACCAGCATAGATCATCAAAAGCCCAATTGGTTGAACAAATGAAGTCTGCGGGGACTCCTCGGACGATAGGATCGAAACCCTCAACCCTGCATCTGCCAAAAACCCTAAAGCTACTGTTGATGATATAAATCCTGCATTACCTTAAGGACCCTAAACGATGGGAATTATGGTATATTCCTTGTTATGGGTAATGCAGGATTAAAATCATCAACCGTAGTAGTCCTGTAGGGAACCTCTAAGCTTTTGGGGAGTATAGTCCCTATATAATCCCTATAATCAAAAAATTAACCTTCAGTTCCCCATGATACCCGACAAGTAGGTAAAGCCCTACACTCTTCTAAAGCCCTGATCCCTACCTTAACCTTTCAAAACCAAAAGCTACTTTTTTTGTAGGGCCCCTATAGGGGTTTATACGCTTATGACAAGAAACTACAAAGAAGCAGGGTTTGTAGTTTAAGGTAAAAATCCTAAACCCTAAACCCACAATTTCCTCAAATTCCTTAAATGCCCTATAAACCCGCCCTAGAATACTTAAATTCTTTAAATTTCCTAGACCCTCAACTCTAATCCTAGATTCCTTAAGCCGGACTAAGGCTTGCGAAGTTGCGGAGCGAGGGTGCCCAGGCGAAGCCGGAGGAGGGTTGCGTGGTGCGCCTGTGCCTTTGAGAGCAGTCGGATTTGGAGTTTAGGTATTTTGGGGCTTAGGGAATTTGGGGGTTTAGGGAAATTAGGATTTGGGGTGTAGGGTTTGAGGGAGTTTAAGGTTTAGGGGCTGAGTGAATATGGGGTTTAGGGAACATGGGGTTAAGTGTTTCAGGGAATTGGTGGTTTACAGTTTAAGGTTTGGAGTTTAGGGTGGGTGCCTTTTCATTTTAAATAGGGGTTTGGCTTCCTTTTGAATATAAATATGAGGAACCCTAAAGAATAGTAATATTGGTAACTTGTCAGGGTCTTATGTATGCTCCTCTATATATCTATATGGATCCTTTAAAGCCTTTGTCATTAAGGGGTTTGGGCTGGCAGCGAGTCCCAGGCAAGCATTGTCAACATCATTAGCTGCTGATTCTCACAGCAGCGATAGCAAATCAGTCCCGGACATAGAGAAGCGGAGCAGGGCGCAGGTCGAGCATCATCAGCATCAGCAGGATTTCCTTTCAAGCTCTCTCTCCGATATCCCAGTCGCAGCAGGCATAGCAGTTCGACCCAATGATTGGACGGATTTAGCACGGGCGCAGGGCGAGCATCATCAGCATCAGCAGGATTTCCTTTCAAGCTCTGTCTCCGATATCTCTGCTGCTGAAATCGCAGCAGGCAAAGCAGTTCGACCCAATGATTGGACGGATTTACCGAGGGCGCAGGGCGAGCATCATCAGCATCAGCAGGATTTCCTTTCAAGCTCTCTCTCCGATATTTCTGCTGCTGAAATCGCAGCAGGCATAGCAGTTCGACCCAATGATTGGACGGATTTACCGAGGGCGCAGGGCGAGCATCATCAGCATCAGCAGGATTTCCTTTCAAGCTCTCTCTCCGATATCTCTGCTGTTCAAATCGCAGCAGGCAAAGCAGTTCGACCCAATGATTGGACGGATTTAGCACGGGCGCACGGCGAGCATCATAGCATCAGCAGGGCTCTCTCTCCGATATTTCGGCTGCTGAAATCGCAGCAGGCATAGCAGTTCGACCCAATGATTGGACAGATTTAGCACGGGCGCAGCAGAGCGAGCATCATCAGCATCAGCAGGATTTCCTTTCAAGCTCTCTCTCCGATATCTCGGCTGCTGAAATGGACGGATTCTAGCGAAAGCGCAAGGCGAGCATCATCAGGGATTTCCTCTCAAACCCTCTTTCCGATTCCCGGCAATTGAAATTATAGCTCGCGCAGCAGTTCGACCCAGTAACTGCACGTATTTCGCACGGGCTGAGGGCGAGCATCATCAGCATCAGCAGGATTTCCTTTCAAGCTTTCTCTCCGATATCTCGGATTCTGAAATCACAACAAGCGAAGCAGTTCGACCCAAGGATTGGATACTTTTAGCGAGGGCGTAGGGCGAGCATCATCGGCATCAGCAGGATTTCCTTTCAATACTTTCTCTGCGATGTCCTAGCCTCTGAAGCTACAGCAGGCATAGCGATTGAATTTCCTTTCAAACGCTTTCTCCGATTCCCAGCATTTAAAATTACAGCAGGCGCAGCAGTTCGACGCAATGAGTGCACGGATTTGGCAAGGGCGCAGGGCGAGCATCATCGGCATCAGCAGGATTTCCTTTCAAGCTCTCTCTCCGATATCTCTGCAGCAGCAGGGAAATTTTCAGAGAATGTAACAGGAACTCGTGCCGCCCAATCATTGAGTCGAACTGACGTGCCTGCTACAATTAATTTCAGAAGCCGAGAAATCGGAGAGAGAGCCTGAAAGGATCCTGCCGATGCTAATGATGCTCATCCCTGCGCCCATCCGATCAGTGATCATTGGGTCCAACTGTGGTGCCTGCTTTAGTTTCGGAAGCCGCGAAATCGCAGAGAGAGAGAGAGAGAGCTCTAAGGGAAAAGCACCTGATCATCGGAGACAAAGATTGAAAGGAAAGCTGATGATGCTCGCCCTGTGACCTCGCGAAAAGAAATCCTGCTAGTGCTGATGATGCTCGCCGTGCGCCCTTGCTTTAAATCCGTGCACTCATTGCGGCGAACTGCTGCGCCTGCTGTAATTTCAATTGCCGGGAATCGGAAAGAGAGTTTGAAAGAAAATCCTGCTGATGCTGATGATGCTCGCCTTGCTCAATCACTGGGTCGAGCTGCAATGCCTGCTGTAGTTTCAGAAGCTGGGATATCGGAGAGAGAGCTTGAAAGGAAATCCTGCTGATGCTAATGATGCTCGCCCTGCGCCCTCGGTAAATCCGTCCAAATCATTGGGTCGAACTGCTATGCCTGCTGCGATTTCAGCAGCCGAGATATCGGAGATAGAGCTTGAAAGGAAATCCTGCTGATGCTGATGATGCTCGCCCTGCGCCCGTGCTAAATCCGTCCAATCATTGGGTCGAACTGCTATGCCTGCTGTAGTTTCAGAAGCTGGGATATCGGAGAGAGAGAGCTTGAAAGGAAATCCTGCTGATGCTGATGATGCTCGCCCTGCGCCCTCGGTAAATCCGTCCAATCATTGGGTCGAATTGCTATGCCTGCTGCGATTTCAGCAGCCGAGATATCGGAGATAAAGCTTGAAAGGAAATCCTGCTGATGCTGATGATGCTCGCCCTGCGCCCGTGCTAAATCCGTCCAATCATTGGGTCGAACTGCTTTGCCTGCTGCGATTTCAGCACCAGAGATATCGGAGAGAGAGCTTGACAGGAAATCCTGCTGATGCTGATGATGCTCGCCCTGCGCCCTCGGTAAATCCGTCCAATCATTGGGTCGAACTGCTATGCCTGCTGCGATTTCAGAAGCTGGGATATCGGAGAGAGAGAGCTTGAAAGGAAATCCTGCTGATGCTGATGATGCTCGCCCTGCGCCCGTGCTAAATCCGTCCAATCATTGGGTCGAACTGCTTTGCCTGCTGCGATTTCAGCAGCCGAACTACAGTTTGACCCGGTGATTGGCTGCATCGGCCAGGGCCCTGGGCGAGCATCCTCAGCAGCAGGAATTCCTTTCACACTCTCCCTCGGATTTCCATTCGTTTGAATCTACAGCAGGCGAAGTTCGATCCAATGATTTGACGGGTTTAGCGAGCCGCAGGACGACAGTTGGATTGTTTGTCCGACTTTCTCCCCGATCTCCTGGCCTTGGAACTTCTGTCACAGTTTTGTCCCAACAGCCTGAAACTGCGTGGTTTTTCAGGTCTCCAGAGGGCCGTGGCGGCCTGCCCATGCTCATCTTCTGTGCCGCCGGCACGTCTGCGGCAACCTACGGTGGGGTGGCGGAGCCCACTTGGGGGGTTTGAACTTTAGGGTTTTGGCGTTGGAGATTTCAGGGTTGAGGGCATTTGCCCTCGATGTCGGGTTGTGGAGTTTGTTCCCTTACTGTAAAGACCAACAGGCAACGGTCTGGGCATTCCTGCTTCTCTCGTGACACGATGCATTTTCCTCAACTGTTCCGACACCCTGCACTCTAAAGCCTAAACCCGAAGCCCCAAAGACTGATCCATTTTGGCCTTAAACCCTTAGAGGCCCTACCTAATGTAGGAACCTGATTAAAAAAACCCTGGGCCTATAGCCCCAGAATAGTAGGATTCATCAGGTTCCTACATTAAACCCGAGGACCCTGAATCTGAACCCTAAACCCTAAACCTTAAACCCTAAACCCTGAATCCTAAATCCTAATCCTTAGCCCTTAGACCCTAAACCCTAAACCTTAAACCCTAAACCGTGAACCCGAAGTAATAGCTGAAGAGGAGCGGGCGAGCCGGCTTCAGCTCTTCGGCGTGGAGCTGCCGGGTCGCGGAAGAAGGGCCGAGGAGACGTTCATTGCTGTTGCTATTCCCTTGTTATTTGGGAGTTTCCGAAACTATGGGACCCTAATATAGCACCCTAAATAGTAGGATCCTTATTATAAGACCCCCAAAATCAGGTACCCCTCTTTTCGGAAAACCCCATTGCTATGAGCATTAGTATTCTTGTTTATCACTTATTGTAATTACTATTAGTGTTAGAATTGTGGATATTGTTGCCATTATGGTTCGTATCATTGCTATGACTGTCCTGGTGTTGGCGATGATTATCGTGTTCATGTTTAAACAGTTGTTGTGCAAATAGGGAGCGTAGGAGGCTACAATGAAGGATCAGGGCGCTTTGTAAGTAGGCTTAGAACCAGAAAACTACTGATTGCGCTTTATGATCGCTTCAGCAGCGGAGTGGGGTTTACGGCTTTAGGATGTGTTCGGGGCTTCGGGTTCGGTTCGCACTTTTAGGGGTTTGCAAGATGGGAGTTTCCGAAAGTAGGGGACCCTAAGTAGTAGGATCCTTATTATAAGAACCCCCAAAATAGGTACCCCTAATTTTCGGAAACTCCCAGATCAGGAATGTTAAGTTTGTGTTCTGCTCAAGAAAGACGGGTTCTCGATGAGCCAAGGCAAGCCCTCAACCCCGGAAGCCCTACGCTCCGCAAACGAAATAATCCCAGCACCCTAGCACCCCAAACCCTCAACCCTAAACCTTAAACCCTCAACCCTAAACCCTAATACCCCAAAGCCCTGAAGCCTCAAAGCCTAGCTTCAAGCCTACGCCCTCAAAGCGGAGAGGAGCCGGTGGTGTCGGACTTCAAGGAGCTCTTTGAGGCTAAGAAACCCTGCTTTCCCAGACCCCGATCTAGAAAGTACTTTGGGTACCTTTTCGGGTATCCTAAGTAACAGGTGCCGTATCATAATAACCCGGACCCCCCGGGAGGATCTAGAAAGTAGATCCCCTAATATGGGGCCCTAGACTACGAAGGCTACGTCAAAGCAACCCCCATGAAGCGACCTTTACTTACCAAAAAACCGACCTTTTCTGTAGCGTCCCCTGTAGATTCCACATTCGGGTTAAAAATAGGAGGCGAAAAAAGCAGGGTTTCGTAGTTTTGGGTACTCAGCCCTGTTCGACCCGATAAGACCTTTGTAGAACCCTATGAGACCCCATACAACTCACGTCCCAGGGTTGAGGGCTGTAGGGTTTTAGGAATTTCGCTTCGCCGCTTCGTAGGCTTCAGCCGGCATGGGGTTAGGTGTTGCCGGGTGGGGGCTGGCAGTCGATTTGGCCTTCCGGGTGTGGTGAAGGTGTCGGGTTTCGGTTATTGAACTTCTCTGCACTCATCATTCCCAAGCCTCAACCTCCAACCCTGAGCCCCGAACCCTTAACCCGTCCTAACCCCCTAAACCTTAAAGCCCTAAACCCCTAAACCCCTAACCCCTAAACCTTGAAACCTCTAAACCCTAAAGCCCTAAACCCTAAAATCCTAAACCCGCCAGGTTCTGCGGGAGGATGTCATGAATTGGGCGAGGCGGGGCGGCGCTCAGCTTTTGGGAGTTTCCGGCGGTCTTCCCAGAGCCTCCAATATCCCTTAATTAAGGAATATACCTTAAATCATATAAGGGATCCTACTATACTTTCTGGTATATTCCTTAAATAAAGGATATTGGAGTCTCTGGGTGGTCTTGGCGTTTAGGTTTCAGGCCTCGGTCTCGAACAAAAGGTTTGGGGCTTTTACGTTTAGGGGTTGGGGGTTTACGGGTTAGGGGGTTAGGGAGTCTAGGAGGTTAGGGGGTTTAAGGGGTTTAGGGGGTTAGGGGGTCAAGGGGTTATTGCAGGCCAGAGATTGGGATTCCAGATAGAGGATTGGGGCGCCGGCTGAGGGCCTCAAGGACAAGCCGAGGAACTTGCCGGTGCTCTGAGATGATTGCTGTCACGCGGATGACTATCCCGAGCCGTGCTCTAAAGCCTAGGATGTCAAGAGATCGCTCGGCCCTTCCATCAGTGTTGACGATGTCTAGCCGCCATAATGAGAATCCCACTTAACAGTTATCCTGTTTGCAGCCGTGCCCAAGACCTGTCAAGCGATTTGGGAGTTTCCGAAATTCGGGGGTACCGTATTTGGGGGATCCTTATTGATAAGGATCCTACTAGTTGGTGTACTATATTAGGGTCCCCTATTTTCGGAAACTCCCATTTGGGGTTTGAGAAGCCTTAAGAGGAACCTGCTTTGGAAACGTGGGTTCTGGTGCTGCGGCCACGATCCTAGACCTCAAGTTTCCTAAAAACTCCAATATCCCTTAATTAAGGATTATACCTTAAATTATCGTAGGATCCCTACATGATTTACGGTATATTCCTTAGTTAAGGGATATTGGAGTCTCTGGGTTCCATCTACTCATTGCCAAGCAAACCCGACCCACGCTTGTTCAGAAAACTCAAAATCCGGGTGCGACTACGAGACCAACACAAGTCGGAATGGGCATTTTCAAACAGGGGCCCAAATAATTACCTATACTACTATAATATTGAATATTGTGGGGTTCCTTATTATAATTATGGTTTGCCCCAAAAGCCTATTCTAGTTATTAATTAAGGCCCCTATATTAATAGTTCAGACCCACTACCAGTTGCTGGAAGCCGTAACAAGGCGACCTTCAGCGTAACCATTGCCGTCATCACCCTCGCCACCCTCACCATCATCATGATCATCTCGGTATTTCGGACCCTAAATCCTACAAGTATCACTACACGAAAAAATTTGAGGCGACCCTAAATCCTTGAAGTGTGGATTCCGCAACAAAAAACGGAGATGCCTGCAGGCGGCAGAAGCGCTTCTTCGTTTGGGGCGACAGCCTCGGTGCCGTGCTGGCCTACGAGTTCGCAAAACTCTGGGAGGCTTTCAACGGGGTTATATAGGGGTCGGGTTTAGGGGTTTGGGGTTTAGGGTTTAGGATTCTAGCCAAAAGTAACTATTCTCACTATTATGATCATTACTGCTACTATTATTACTAGTATTAAGGGGGTTTTATGTAGGGGCCTGAAGAATTACCTACATTATGTTGGTGCCTTTTTTCTTACTCGCGTTTATATTCGACTTATCAAGGCTCCTGTATTAACTTCAGGCTTCTATTAACTTTAGGGTTTAAGGCTTCCTGTATTAAGGGGCCTACAAGGGATCTATAAGGCTTGCCCTTTTAAGGGTCCTTTTTGAGGGGTCGAAAGGCCTCTTAAGCTGAGGGACCGGGTGGGTGACGCTTCTGGGTTGCGAAGGGTGGTGCTAGGAAGTTCTATAAGGGTTCCTTTAAAGGATACTTTAAGGGGTACTATAAGGGATCTATATTAAGGGTACAATGATAGTAAACCCTACTACTTGGAGGTTCATGGGTAGCTATAAGTAGGGTTCCTTTAAAGGGATCTTTAGGGATTCTATAAGGGTATAGGGTTTAGGGTCTACTTGGAGGTTCATGGGTAGTTATAAGTATATAGGTTCATCAGTCCCCTAATATGGGTTATAGATACAGTTACCCTACTTATAACCCGACTTATAACTACCCATGAACCTCCAGTGGAGCTTCATGGGTCGACAACATATAGAGTTATTGCATGATACTATTTAGCATGGTCTAGTAGAGTCTTTGTGTAATGTTCTGGTAGAATATGACATAGTATAGTATTGTAGCCTTTGTGTAATATAGCAGAATATGACATAATATAGTATAGTCTTAGTGTAATATAGTAGAAGTTGATATGGAATATCTTGGTCGGTGCAACCAGGGGATCGGGATATCCGAGGCTTTGATTCATGCTGCTTCGTCACCATGATCTACATAGGGTTGATGGTATAAATCCTGCATTACCTTAAGGACCCTAGACTATGGGAAGTATGGTATGGTCCTTATTATGGGTAATGCAGGATTTATATCATCAACAGTAGCCAGCCTCGGCAAAGGTACGTTCATCGTCCATCCATCCCGATGTTGTGTGTAATTTCATCTGTATTTGCGTGTACCGTTGCTGTGCATATCATTACGTCTGCCTGATGCTCGCAACCTGCCGCAGACTTCACTACTGGTAACATTTGAGGCCGCAGGTGCCGCTTCATAGCGGCAACTACAGCTCTGGTCATGAGAGCTTGCAATGTCCCTGAGCGTCCATAGGGCTAGCTACTTGGGATTTGGACTGTATACGATTGAAAAGAACCCCTTTAAAACATTACCATTACAGTAGCCCATACATACCCGTATAGTAACCCATGACATAGCCTAACAGTAGCCTTTATGCTATCCTTCTGGCGGGTGCTCAGAACCCAGACCCATCTTACCAGGCAGATCCATCAACAAGCCTTCTTGGCCTCTATGCATCCGGCAATGCGGGGCCTTCTGAGGCAGGGGGGGGGGGGGAAGGGGCTGTTAGGTCCAAGGATTCTGGGAGGTTTCGGGGGGCTTGAGAGCTTGAGGGCATTTGGTTATGGTCCCTAAACCCTAAACCCTAAACCCTAAACCCTAAACCCTAAACCCTAAACCCTAAACCCTAAACCCTAAACCCTAAGTGCCTTTCCGGCTTGGGAAACAGAGATCTTCGGATTCGGGGTTGTTTAGGTTTACTCGGAGTTCTACAAGAGCCTCCGGGGTTTGGGTATAGGATTGCAAAGGGCTCTTTTGGGCCCACCGGAAGTTTTCGCAAGGCCACTGTTCAGGGTTTGTCGGGTTTCTGGGATTCTAGGGCTCAGGGTTCACACGGTCAGGACTTCAGAGCTTGGTTTATGGTGCAGATGGGTGGTTGTCAATATTAGGGTCTCTGTTTGGGTCCCTATTATAATACAGCACCTAATATTTAGGGTGCACAAAAAGGTGCCATAATTTTGACAACTACCCGTGTACGGCTTCACTGGCTCGCAATGGCTTCCAAAGGTGTTCCAATAAGGGTTTTAGGTGTTTGGGCCTGAAGTTGTTGGGTACGTGTGCAGGCGGAAAGTCTGATCGGCATCCTTGCACCGTACCGTTTCAGTCCAATGATATTCCATAAATGCAAACTGTCTTGAAACCATACTGAAACCATAAAAGAAATTATCCAAGGATTCGTGTCATAGGCTGCAAAAGATTCTCTTAACTCTAGGCATTGGCTGCGGGTCTCCGACAGACTTTCCCACCCGAGACATCGCAGCCTCTTTGACGCAAGCTGTGAATAATCTACGACATATCTACGACCCTCAAACCTCCAGCCCTTCAGATCCTACTTTCAGAACCCTCTGCACCTTACTTGGAGGGTCGGGGGACTTAGTAATTAACTGGTTATTTTAGGGACTTGTAAGTACCATAACCCCAATTAGGGTCCCTTGTAGGGTACTTATAAGTCTACTTACTACCTACTTACTAAGTCCCCCGACCCTCCAAGTAAACCCTTGAAGCAAGGCATTCAAAAGCCCGAGCCCTTCCACAGAGAGGCCAGCCGCGAGCGCGGAATGGGTGAGGCTGCCATGGTTCACCTGGGCTACGAAGGGCCCTGCAGGGAAATGACACAGGAGGAGATGAAGGGATCTTGCTACTTTTGTCACGGTTTAGGGTTTAGGGTTTAGGGTTTTAGTATTGTTCATGATTCGTATGACTACTCTTGTCACTAAGGTTGTTAATGATTAGCATTGGCCTGATAATTCGAAATTGTATGATAATGATACGGCTAAACATCCAGAAACCCAGCGGCCCCCTCCAGACTTCGCTACATCAGGAACCCTCCGTGTTTGTGTGTTTTGTGGTGGTTTGACGCTGTCAGGCCATGAACCTTGTAATCCAAGGGTTCAGGTCCAAACTGGACTTTAGAGACGAAAGATGCTAGAGGGTGGGGCGAGGCGTGTCACATTAAGTTGAAGGCTTTGGACGTTGGCTGTAGGGTAGGGTTGAGGGTTTGGGGCTCCAGTGAATAATTGGAACTGACACTTGTACCTTACAGCCCCTAATTATATGGTCCAAGTCCCTGTATTATTCTGATTATGGCTCTTATCGGTGTAATTGCCCGTTGGTAGTTTAGTGGTAGTCTACTGTCATATACCTCTGATTATGAGTCTCATGTTGTAATTATCACTATTCTGCAACATACCCCCAAGCTCCATGCCGAAATGAGAGGACTGGAAGCGCTTCCTGCTGGCCTCCGCGGGAACCGGTCGTGCGGAGTTAGAGCAGCTGCTCCAGAAGCAACTTCGCTGGATGCAGAACCCGCGGACTCCAATATCATTTATGCAATGGCCCTTGTCAGTGGGTTAGGGTTTAGGATCTACGAGAGTATACGGCATATTCCCAATTGGCGGATATTGAATCCTGTGAGAATTTGAGTTTTGAATTTGAAGAGTTGGAACCTGGGGCATTGGTGAATCGCATCGCGTTGAGGGTCTTGTTATGCGTTTTGGGGGTTCGGGGTGTAGGGCTTATGGCTTGGATTTAGGGTTTAGGGTTTGGTGAACATGTTGCATCTTGTGGGAACATAGCTCGATGCACCCGAAAAGCCCATTCTGACCATTTAGGCTCTGATACCTTGCTGCCTTCGGAGATTGCCAGCAAGCTCTCAAACTCGCCACGACGATTGGATAATTGTGTAATTGGTAAGTGGCAAATAAGTAGATGAAACTCGTGCAAGTTTATAAACACACATATGCACACATACACAAACTTAAGTTAAGTGTATGTGTACAGGAACAGGGATGGACACCATGTTGAATTTGTACGCAATCCAAGATTGCCTCTGGGTAAGGAGCCAATACCGAACAGCTTATCTTAAGCTTCCATTGAAAGTGGTGACATCCATCATGAAAGCGGCCTTCATTCAACCGTTTTATGGGCTTTCTTCAAATATTTGGCTCCTTCATACTTTGAAGACTTTAACGTAGCCCTTGCGAAAGCCTTATGCACTGAAACTCCCATGTTGCTCTTTGCTGTAACAAATCTCGCCGGCGCAACAATCAAGGCCCGATCTGGCCGAGAGCATTGTGAACCCGGTGCGCGCCGACTGTCTTGCCTATGAGGCCGCCCGTCGTCGTGGTGGGCGTCGTCGTCGTAGGAGCGGCAGGAGTCGTAGCAGCAGGAGCAGCAGTAGTAGGGCTAGGGCTAGGACGAGCACTCGCACTACTGTTGAGTTTGCTTGCTACCACTCGCTGCACATACCTTCTTCTTGTGTCTGTGCACTCGGCTTCCTTTCCGTTTGCTTGACAGGAGTGTGATTTTTTGCAGATGTCTCGTCTTCCTGTTCCAGGCTGAAGCAGAAAGCCAACCGAAAGCAACATCTGCGACATGGTGCCTATACTAGGTGGCAAGTTTCAATTCCCCCAAAACTGCCATATTAGCAAGAGGAAGGTTCCCCTGTACTGAGAATGATGTATAACCATTCCAAGGGTATAAGGAGGGACCCTCAATAAGGACCCCTAGGTATATTCCCTTAATATAGCCATTATATACCCATTATCATTATAGGGTAGGGGTCCCGAGTAAGGGTCCCTCCTTTTCCCCTTATAACCACGTTCCAGGACAGGGCACCCTGCGACTCGGCAGGAGTCTTGCAGATGAGGGCTGAAGGCCTCAGAATCCCAGTCTTTATCCCGAAAGACTGAGCTACTCAGCGAATCCTAGCCCCCCCCACTTGGAGGTTCATGGATAGTTATAAGTCAAGCTATAAGAAGGGTAACTGTACTTATAACCCATATTAGGGGACTTACAACCCCACTTAACTACCTCTAAGTAGCCCCCCCATTTCCCGTGGCCCAAGTTCTGAAGTCGTGCATCCCTACCTGCGCGAGTCCTATCGCCTGAGCCAAGTGGAGCGCATCCATTCGCCCATCGTCACTTTGTATCTCGGCTGTTGTGAAGGAGCAGCTGACACAGAGAGCATACCTGCTTGTGACTGTGAAGGGGCCGGGTTGCGGGTTTTTGCCTTGGGGTCCTAGGGTTTTTGCGTTTTTGTATCCTGAGGACCCTTATAGAGGGGCGATCTTTGCAGGCTTCCTTAGTTTCATGGGGGCCTTTCTCTCAAAGCGCCGAGCCGCCGTGGGAGAGCATGTACGAAGCCCGGGATCCCGAAAGTCCTGAGGGGAAGAAGCCCCAGCAAAAGCACTCCAAGGCGCGGCGGCCAGGACGTCATCACCTCACCGCAGGCACAGGGTGGGGCAAAACTGTGCTACGGCGGTCGTTGTTTAAAGCGTTTTTCACGAATGTCATTCCGTAATTTAGCGTTCCGGGATGAGTGGAGCAGACAACAGCCAGCTTCTGCTTTGTTTACTTGAAACCCTGTAAGGCCTTCAAAGAGCAAGCTGCTGAAGAGCTCTGCACACCAGACCTCGAGAGCATTACAAACCCCACGGAGTCTAAATCCCAAGCCGAGGCCCGAGTAACGCTCCTTCCTTATGATGGCTTTGGGTTGGGTTTTTGGGTTGCTCTCGAAGCCTGAATCCATGCGTGAACCAGGCCATGCGGTCCTGGCAGGAGGTGGCAGGAAGCCGCTACGAGCACAAGGACTCGCTTCAACCCAGCATCCCCAAAGCCACAAGACTCAGTTTCGGGGTTTCGTGGAGTCAGAAGTTCCGTAAAGTTTTATGGGGTTGAGGGTCCCCTTTAGGGGTTGCCTGTAATCCACAAGAGCCCTGATCCTTTACGGATGGCATGTTGAGGAAGGCTGCGGTGGCTTCTGAACCAACACCCTCCAAAGTCTTCACAAACCCGTATCACAAGCCCCTACACCCGAACCCCTGAGCCCCCCGACATTCCCCCATATGGGCCCATTGTTGATCCTGAACCCCAAGCCCGACACCCTAAAACCCAAAGCACCCTACTTGGAGGTTCAGGGGTAGTTATAAGTGGGGTGATAAGTCCCCTAATATGGGTTGTAAGTATAGTTACCCTACTTATAACCTTACTTAAAACTACCCATGAACCTCCAAGTCGTGCTCCTCCATACGTGGGCGTCTCGTTTTGAAGCTTCGAGGAGTTCGGGTCCTTCGGGCACATGCTCGCGCGGGAGTGCCCGTCCCTCTTGGCTGAGCTCTTCGAGCAGTGCCCTTTAGGGCTTCAGGGGTCTTGCCGTGTAAAGGGGGTTTAGGCTCTAGGGACAGGGCCGTATAGGGGTTCAGGGCTTTAGGGGGTTGAGTTAGTTGAGCGGTTTCAAGATTTCAGGGCTTTTGGAGGACTGGGGGGGGTGTTCGGGGCCCTTTATGAATACTTGGGGCTTGGGGCTCCGTGGTTCGGATTGAGGAGTTTGGGACCTAGGGTGTGGAGGTTGAAGTTGAGACGGCTCAGAGCGCTCAGGGTTTGGTTTCTTTTGGGGGCTTGGTTAGGGTGTAGGGTCTTGGAGGTTCGTGCTGTAGTATTTCGGATCGTTTGGGATCTAGAAACTGGGTTGAAGTCGTGAAAGGTGGAGTTGAGGATTTATGTCTTTAGGTGTTTAGTTTGGGGTCCTCCCCTTGAGCTTCAGGGCTACGACTTAGAGGCTTAGGTTTGGGGTGGGAGCTTGTGCTTTGAAGCTTCCGGGCTTCTGTGAGACGGTGAAACCTGGAAGAGCTGTTGACGATGTAAATCCTGCATGACCCATAATAAGGAATATACCATAATTCCCATATATTCCTTATTATGGGTAATGCAGGATTTACATCATCAACCGTAAGATTGCGAATGACGAAGTGGGAGTTTCCGAAAATTAGGGGTACCGTATTTGGGGGTCCTTATAATACGTATCCTAATATTTAGGGTACTAGATTTGGGTCCCCCATTTTCGGAAACTCCCAAGTGGCCGCAATGAGAGGAAGAGGTCATCTCAACCGATATAAAGCTGGCTACGGGCAGCTTTAGGAAGCAACAGATGGATACTCGATGCATAGGCTTGGGACGAAAGGAAAACGGAGCGCATCAGGAGCATTACGAGAAGGATGTAGAACCAACGACCTGAACACCACCGAAATTGGATTTTTAGAGTGTCTTTCTTTTAGGGTGGATACAGCAGGATGGTCTCGCAGTGAGTTTGTCTGACTAGTGTATGTGGGCTTTTGCGATGTTGCAGAGCAGTGGGTTATGTATTCCTTGCGATCGCGGCACGAGAACGATCTGACCAGGTACTCGTTGCCAGACTTCACGCACGAGCTGCGCCATTTCGAGACCTTCCGCACCGCCTACAGGCAGCTAGGGTGCAAGGAAAGCGGAGGGGAAGAAGTTCGGCAGTGCTGGCACCCAGTGTTGTTGATCGGCCTCACATCCCCCATGCCGATTCCTTAACTTTGAGAAGTTTTACCGCACACTGTAGCCCAGGCTGGGTCTTCAGATATAACGGACGGATCAGCCTCACAGTGAGGTTTAAGTGTGTGAGGGGTTTCGGTTTTGAAGTTGAGGGCTTGATGGCTTCGTGCATTAAGGCGGTTCTAGTTTACAACCTTCAGGAACTCGAGAGCCTACATCTGCCAAACAAGGATTTTGAGGTTTAGGGTTGGACTCGTCGGCCTCGGGTCTGGTTACGTCGACAGCCCCAGGCTCATGCGCACGCGGTCGCAGCAGCACGGCTCTTCGCAGAAGGCAAAGGGGGATCTCACCATCGATGTTTAGGGTTTATAGGTGCTAAGACGGTGGGGGAGCATGAGAAGAGGGAAGCCTCAGCAGAAGCGGAGAGAAGAGGAAGTGTTGGGAAGATCTGGGGGAAGGTGTGATGCTTGGTGATGGTGATGGTTTCCGAAGGTGATGACGATGGCGGATACAGCGAGGGTTATCGGGGCACTAGCAATCACGACAGCAGTTGGCTTGCTGGCTGGTTCGGTGGACGGATGCGAATATGCGAGTCAAAGACCTAAGATATCCTTGCTGGAGTTGTTGAGGATGTGGAAGAAGCAAAGGATAGTATCGACCAGCATCTACGGGATCAAACGTGACCATGGCTGTAGAAACCATACGCCAAAGCCGGAGAGCTCCGTATTCCGCCAAGCGCCAAGGAAATCACAGGTCGAGGGATGCCCCTCTCTATACAATTTTGCTTGTTCTTTGAAGCTTTGCAGTGCTTTTGAGCCTTAGCTCTAAACTGATTCTTAGCTTGCCGAAGGCCCGGGATATCCGCAAGAGCATGCGGGTTTGCAGCCCCACGCTGGGTGCAACCAAGGCGGCCGTGTTGTGCTTTTGGTTTTTCAGCCGTGTAGCGCTGAGTCAGGGGTATCTGGGCATTGGGGTAGATTTTCGCAAGCCTCCCACACACATTGGGACAATCACTTGTGGATCCACTTGTCATTTTGCATGGTGCTGGAAGCTACCTTTTCGTTCGGTTTGGGGCTGCGTGTAGAAATTTTAGCAGCTTGCTGACATCCTCGACTTCGCAAAGCAAGTCAACTAAACCTGCAACCCTCAACCCTTAAATCCTAGACCTAGGGGTTCATCCGAGCCAAGGCCGCGCTACCAAAGCCACAACCCCAAAGCCCCGGGACCCTGAAGCCTTATAGCCCCAACACAGCCTGCTCCGTCTCTAGAAGCTCCACTACGAAACTACTTAAGACTCATAAAATCCTGTGAAGAGATGTTTTAAAGTTTTGAGACACCAGCAAAAGAACCCATAATGTGCCTATGTAGAGAGCCCCACAACCATCCCGTACACCCCTAAAATATATCATTCAGGAATCCCCTACAAACTAGCAAAACGTAGTATCTTCTTATGTCATATCATATTAGTTCGTTACAGATCTATTATAGTCTATACCAGTGCATTATGGATCTATTATAATGTAGTATCTCATGTTGTATTCTTAGTTCGTTATAGATACTAGAAGTGCGTTATAGATCTATTATAGTAAACTACCGCGCTTAGAACCCAAAACCACTGAGAAACGACGAAGGTCCCTTTGGACGTCGAGCTGAACGTGGCGGAGCTGGATCTGAACCTTAGTAGCTGAGTGGATACGCACTTTACACTTTTTGGGGGGTACTATTACTATTACCCACTACAGAAACTGACTGGAGATCATATTACCTAGATATGCACTTTACACTTTTTGGGGGATAATATGGGAAATGGTAGGATCCTTCTTATAAGGACAGGTACCCTTAATTTTCGGAAACTCTCCACTTTCCCGCTATAAAACTGAAAGGGTCCACTTTTGGGGGATAATATTACCCACTATAAAAACAGAAAGGGTGCATTTTTTGGTGATAATATTACCCACTATAAAACTGAAAGGGTACACTTTTTGGGGATACGATTACTCACTATAAAACCGAAAGGGTACACTTTTTGGAGATAATACTACCCACTATACAAACTGAAAGTGTGCACGTTTTGGGGCTTATGAACTCAGCAACTAAGGAACTGGGAGCTCCTCGACGACATCACCCCACCCACGAAGGAGGCGGCGGCTGTTTGGTGTCGGTATTTTTTGGAGGGTTCCTGAGCCCTAAACCCTAAACCCCACCCACGAAAGAGGCGGCGGCTGTCTGGTGTCTTTTTTGGGGGGGATGGAGGTTTGAGGGTTTGTGTGCACTGTTTGGGTTTTTTTTGGGGGGTGGTATTGGAGTTGTTTAGCGGGGTTTACAACGGTTTACAAGGTTTTTGTAGGGGCTGCATGAGGTTTACTTAGGCCCACGGAGGAGGCGGTGTCACAGGTTGATTGCATGAGGTTTTCAGGGCTTTGTCAGGTTTTGGAAGCTTTTGGGAGTTCGGCGTTTAGATCCGTGGGTTTAGGATTTGAGGAGGTCTTTCGAAGCGGGATTTAGGTCGTTCATCGTTTGTTTTTCGGCTTCGGTTTGAGCAAAGTTATGCCTTCGTAATGCTCATGTCACTCTGCACCGCGTATGTACCCTAAGCACACGGCATGGATTTCAGTTGGCCCTTGTGCGGGTTGGGGGTTTACGGCTTCATGACTTGAGTTGAGGGGCCCAGGGCGGCTAGGGTTCAGGATTTAGGACTTGGTGGAGGTTGTTGACTTGGGGATTTGGAACAGGGATTTCTTCCTTAGAGTGCAAGGCTTAGGATTCCCTTGCACAAAGCTGTGGCCCACGTGAGATATGAGACCGGAAGCAGTTGTTACACCTAGCACTATGACTAAGCGAGCGAACCTCATGTGTGACTGTAGCATTGCTGCTCTGGACGTCCCATTGCATAGTGAGAGCTTGGCAGGTCAAGGTCATGCGGGTCGGCAACCTCACATGGAGGAAGGGTGCCGCGATGGGCAATCCAACACGCTTGCCATAATTTCTCTGGGTCGAACTTTAGCCTTTAGCTTATTTTCTAACCGGGACGAGGAATTCGGCTCCTCGCCACCCCGGCACAAGACCTTCTCCCGTTTCAGCCAGAGGGAATTCGCACAGTTTGGCCAGGCCAGAAGAGTATAACTAATACAGGTGCGGTAATACTTACCAATAATATTGTTTTGGGGGTTCCTTATTATACTTACAGTATAGTGGGCCCCAAGACCCTTAAGGCGCCTATATTGTTCTACATGCATCCCGAAACCCTATCCTAGTTGTTAAGGTCCCTATACTGACTTGCGGCGTAAGACACGACCTCCGAAAAAAGGCACATGTTTGAGCCGGCTTACATCTGCGAATCTCCGAAGCTGCGGGGAAGCGTCTAGAAATCCAAGTTTTGAACAGCTACTCGTCTTAGAGACTCTTATCATATGATCTTTGTCGCTAGCTGTGTGGTCTTTGAAGGAGTAGGGGCCTAGCACAAGCGTTACTTGTATCATTTACGCAAGGAAGTGAACTTTTGAACGAGTGCAATATCCTTAAAGGTCTAGAGGCTCTGCGCTAACTTGGAGGGGTAATTGCTTGACTCGCAATCGTCTCGGCCCAGGTGCTAGTACGCAGCAGGTTGCAAAATACGTCTCTCAACAAAACCTTCATGAAAGGAGTGACCCTACCATGGCGATTCCTTTGGAGTGATTGTTTCACACTTCCGGTTTTGGTATTGGGATTAAGGGATTCAGGTGATATTGTGAGCTTTGAGGCTTGCGGCTTGCAGAGCATAGCTGAACTCCACTTGCCCCGTCGCGCTCCATCTCCACACAGCTGCGTCGTGCGCCGGTAGCGCACAGACGGGCGTTGTTCGGGCGATGCGGGTTCTTGTGATTTGGGTCATTTGGGTCTATCAGTGGAATCGGCCCCCATACGATCAATACTGTCTTGGCATCTAGAACTACATTATATTAGATGCACATATGTACGTACATAGGTATGTGTGTATGTGTGTATGTATGTATGTATGCGCGGATGTATTTATGTACATACGTAGGTAGGTCGGTAGGTATGTCGGTATGTACAGTGTGGTACATTATGGTACATGAGCGACCGAGATACTTAGGCAACACAGCTCCACATAAGGGACCTTCCGATGCCTCCGGAACTATCTGGGAGCAGCTTTTACACCCGAAGCCTAGGATTTGACGTAGCTCACACAATCGAGTGAAGCAGACAAAGTCATTCAGATCCTCGAGAACACGGGTTTTGCTCTCACGTGTAGTCATTCACGAAAACAGGATAAGCCACCGGTCAACCCTAAAGCCTCTCTGTTGAAAGTAGCGAAAAAGCAAGGGCGCTCTGCAATCGAACAGCGCCCGAATCCTGCAGATGAATTCGGCCTCAGTTTTGAGATTTGCCAGGTGGGACCTGGAATTTGCCGTCAGTTTGAGCCTCCCTTTTTCCAGCATGGATGAGTTGATAACATCATCGGCTGTCAACGCCTTGATTCATCGAGGTGTCTTGTTCAGAACGTTCGGTTCAACGTCCTCCGAACACGGCATGCCATGTGCTTTGAACAGCTTTTGTGGCGCAGGATCGTCCAGGGCTTGTAGAACTATTCCCGGGTCCCACCACGGCCACAAGCAATGTCTTCAATTACTACTAGTGACGGAGCGCCTGCCAGTTTAAGTGGGGCAGTATACAGCGCAGCTCAGTGCAAGCTTGATGTGTGATTACCCGAATCACACGGTGGCTCTGCCAATCTCCAGTACAGATGCGAGATGCCTTACCAATCTAGTCTCTTGCCGCATGCTGGCTTCACTAACTCACACGATTCAAGGCTTCGACTCATGTTTAGGCCCCTGCTTCTTCATTGCAGGTGTGAGTCAGTGAAGCTCCTGCAAGCGAAGAACACGGCAGACGTGGGCGACATGCCCTAATCTCCCACCTCAGACCCGCTTCCAAACCCAACTTGAAAAAGGTTTGCGCAAAGTGGCCGGAGACTCATGAGTGCTGAGCCTCCAAACCCTACGCTTAAGCCTAAAGCCTAACACAACAAAGACACTCAGTCGCCAACATGCTCCACGTGAAGGCACGAGCTCCCATTGAGACCCGAAGACCAAGACCCCAACTCATTAGACCTCAAACCCCTGCTAGTACGGTGTGCAGCGTCCTTTCTGTTAAAGGGACACCTTGTGAATTCCTTGAGTACTAAGGAATTACAAACCTTGCGGCCCTTGCTTTCGGAGCCCCGGGTACGGGAACTACGTAAGTTATACATGCGGAATGGATATCCTAAAGCATACACCGTAGCATTCCACGCAACCTCCTGATAGAAGCTACTGAGACCCTACCGAGACTGAAATGCATAGCCTGAAGCACTCCTACGTGTTCCATAAATGATAATGATGGTGATACTAGCGTCGGTGATGATGATCATGATGATGCTGCTGATGACCTCAAGTGATTCGATCTCTACTTACATAAATCGACCCTGACTTAGGGACAGTCCCAGTCGCCCGACTCAGACGAGCTTCGTGATTGTGACTCACTACCGCTCAAGATTTGGGGTTTAGCTGCCAGCAGTCATACGCCAGCTGGCAGCCACAACATCCAGGGTTCCGTAGAGAAGCAGCCACTGTAGTATTTCATGACCGGTTTCATGTTGCACAGCACTTTGGTTCCAAGCTTTCTCGTCCGATAGTCCCGTGCCAATCTACCAGCATAGACTACTTGTTTCTGTTCCTGAATATGACAACGCCTCTGTGTGGCAACAGGACCACTTCTTCGGGAGAGTTCTTTCCAGAGTTTGTGCTACTAGATGATCTCTTGAGCCTGCGGTCCCAAAGCAAGACGTACACTACATTGAGCTCCACGGGCCAGTTCCTGCTCTCTGATGTCAAAGCTTCAACTTCTGACCAAAGCATTTTGCAGTCTCCCCCTTTGGTGTCCCATAGCCGTCATCACCACCAATGCCAAACGAATCTTGGCAGCGACAGCGAGATGTTCTTTGTAAGTATTGACGCACAAGACACCATGAAGCACAGCCCACCCCAAGTCCAGGAAGCCCAGTCCCAAGACCACGGGCTGAACGCCAGGTCGACTGCAGATGGCGTGCAATGAAGGGGGCTTTGCTTGACAAGTGTCAACAGCATAATGAACAAGGTAACTTTACGTTTCTACACCAAGACTCGGTGCATCATTGGAGGTAGCCGAAGACTCGCACATCTTTGTGGTGCTAAGAGAAGAAATCATATCAGCTGAGTCAGCTGAGCATAGATACATGCTGCGTGTTGCGAAGATATCAAAAAGCTGACGACTCTATGCTGCATTCATGTTAACGCAGGTGTCTAGCGCAGCTCTCACTCATTGTGCCCATCGGCTTTGCATGTTCGTCGTCGGCGTCACTGCCGTGTACTATTGTGCCTCCCCCTATGCCGATTTCTTCTGAATCCACGAAGGCTTCCGATGCTGCGCTGCTCCTGCCGTTGCTGCAGCGAGTCCATTGTACTGTAATCTCAATTGGCCTTGCCCCCAGTTTCAGGGCCTGAGCTGGTGCTTAACGTTGATGCACAGCACGGGTGGTCCAGTTCATTTATGCATGCGCTTATGCGCACCCATTTCCGTTCTAGTATATCTAAGTATGATTTTAGGGTGAACGGTTGCGGAGTTGGGCTCTTCGGGTCTCAGGGATTTAGATCTAAGGTGTTTCGAAACCCTTTTCTGAAGGCGCCCCCGCTGGCTGGTAGCAGAATTAGGGATGTAGACGGCATGCGACGGCACGCAGCAGCTGCTCCCAATACATTTTTTGGCCCTGAAGCCATACTGAAGCCAACGAAGTCCACGAACAACCCAATTCTTTTAAAATCCAAGCAGAATTTCCTTTGAAGAGCGGAAACCCCTGAGTGCCCGGTACCAGCCCTGTAAATTGTAAAGTCTACAAGCGCGAAGATCGGGAAGACAGACAGGCCTTGGATCACCAAATGTCAAACCCATATCAAACTTGACCACAAGCCTCGATGCCGGACGCCAAACCGCTGGCGGGGAACGGTGGGCTGCCATGGCGTCAGCCGACTGGAAGGCTTTTGGGCATATTATAGGGCGCCTACACTATTTGGGGGGGGGGTTCCTGAGAATGGTTATAGTAAAGAGGGCCCCGAAACCCTCCTCTAATTGTTACGGCCCCTATAGTGCTATTTCTACAAGCAGGAAGTTTTTCCTGCTGCTCCTCCACGACAGCGACCGACGGGGCTGGTGCTGCAAACATCGTGGCGACGACGACAACTAATTTCTCCTACTACTACTACTACTACTACTACTACTACTACTACTACTACTAGGCCTTCCCCCCTGGTGCGACGCCGGTCGCTGAGTTCGTGGATGTACAACATGTTCCATCACAGCTGTCGCGGTCCAAGATGCGGCGTAGCAAGGACAAGGATCGTCCACACCGCTGCAGTAAATGTCAGCAGGTGGGACATAGAAAAGACAGTTCGAAATGTCCTTTCTACGATGGATCGACGCCGGAGAAGCCGCAGAATGCTCTGTTGGCTAAGTTTGCACCTGATTACTTGAAGCAAAATGTGAGAGGGAGAACATTAGTTTCGCTCAAACAACCTTGCTTGATGAGTGCACGGGCCTTTACAGAAGCGTCAGGTGTGCAGAAGCTTCAGAAGTTGGGCATGTTGCCGATGTTGCGTAAAAGACACTGCTGGAAGTCATTAGGTTTTGGACATGGATGCTCTCCAAACCAAAATGCGCTAGAGCATGGACGTCATTAGGTTTTGGACATGGATGCTCTCCAAACCAAAATGCGCTAGACCATGGACGTCATTAGGTTTTGGACATGGATGCTCTCCAAACCGAAATGCGCTAGACCATGGACGTCATTAGGTTTTGGACATGGATGCTCTCCAAACCAAAATGCGCTAGACCATGGACGTCATTAGGTTTTGGACATGGATGCTCTCCAAACCGAAATGCGCTAGACCATGGACGTCATTAGGTTTTGGACATGGATGCTCTCCAAACCAACGGTTTGAATGAAAATCATGATCAAAATGAGGCCCAAAAAACCTTGATTCTGATCGCTAGGTTTTGGGCACGAAAATCGAGACACCCAAAAACAGTAAAAAATCATGAAATTCGCAAAGACAAGTGCTGTAAATACCAGCATTTTCGGGTGCGAGATTGATGAACAATGTTAGAAAATATGATAAAAATACACACGAAACCAGGAACAGTTGCCAAGTTCGATAACAGCGGAAAAAAAGTGCTGTAAAACACAGCATTTCCGACCACAGCAAGTCCCAAAAATAAGAGGTTTGGGCGTCGCACCGGGGGGGGAAACCCTACTACTACTACTACTACTACTACTACTACTACTACTCCTACTGCTACTGCTACTGCTACTGCTACTGCTACTGCTACTACTACTACTACTGCTACTACTGCTGCTACTACTACTACTACTACCGCCATCATCAGTTATTAGCTGTGTTGCAAATCGCCAGGAAATTGCTCTCATTGCCCGTACACTGCCAGTTTTTGTATTCATTGCCGAAGACATCAAAACTCGAGGTCCTCGGCGATCTGGTGGAGTATGTCCTGGAGCAGGACGGAAAGGCACCGGTTCCGGGTTGAAGGCAATTGCATTTTGATATGCGGAACTGATCTCCTAACAGACAGAGAGTACTAAACATATTGGGGGGAAAATAGTTTTTCCCCAATATGCTTAGATCTCCTAACAAGAGACAAAGAGAGAGAGAGAGAGGTCGCTCCCCCACTCTCTAGACTTCCGGAAGAAAGAGATGCCTGTTTTTACTGGCATGTGCATGCGCGCACATATTTCCTGGTTCATATATATATATATATGCATGTATATGTATATGTATATTTTATATATATATATACACACACACCGTTTCGGGGTCTGCACTCTACAGTCTGGATTTCTATATGCGCTCTTATCTTACACGCAAGCGCAACATCAAGATATGAGCTTGGAACTCAGGAGGCAGACATCTGACCAACATCTAGCAGAATATAGCACCCAAGGGTCGTGCTCGAGGACATGTGCCTCTGCTTGTCAACTTGTCTTCGGGGCTGCCTGGTGCTACGGGGTTTTGGTTTCTGGAGCTTACCGGGCTATCAGATGTTCTAACCCTAAACCCTAAACCGTTATAGGGATTTTGGGAGTTGGGGCCATTGGACGCCAGGTTTCTTCTGAGAAGTTCCAGGGCTTCTACTCGAAGCACCCGGCACACAAGGCTGCCATCAAGAACATGAGGACGCCGGCCTCAAATGAGTATAAGCAGCTCTTGAGCATGGCCAAGTTCCCAGAACGATGAAAAGAGTCTAGATCGAACAGCCACCGTGGAGACGCAAGTTGTTCAGAGTGCTTCTTTCGAAATGCTAGCCCGCGTGCCGTAGCTGCGGGACCGAGGACTTTCTGCGAACAGCATGCGGACGTCTTCTCAATCTCGGACACGAAGCCTCACTGGGTGCTGATGGTGAAGGTTCCAAACCCCAGTGCTGCTTGTGCTCAAGTTGGCTTCGGTCTTCGGGTAAATACGACATGGCACATTGGCTCGTAGGTCGAGAGAAATTTGCGGAAACCTTCGCTCGATTGTTCCAACCGCTGACCAATGGTTCTATCCGAGTGGCGCGCGCGAAGTGCGCATCGACGTCTCACATGTACACCACAGCGACGTCACCCGGGCGGGGCCGTTAGATGGATAGAGGGCAAGGTGAGTCTCGGTATCCTTGTCTCTGGGTGAATTAAAAAGGCAAAGCCTCAAGGCTCGGCTCTTGACCCAGGATGTTGGGTGGGCAGTGGATAAAACCTCAAAAGCGTAGGGCTAGTAAGGGGACGCCTGGGTCTAGAGCACCTCTTACTTAAGGGTTTTTATCCGCTCATTCAATAGTCGAGGGGGCTAGAACCTGAGGTTTTATCCATTGCCTGCTCAACATCTTGGGAGTAGGACAAATAGAAAGGCTTTAAGAGTCAGCTGATGAAGCCTGGGAAGGTGTTGATATGCAACGAGCGCAGCAATCTTTTGCGGCTCTCGACTGCTTTTCGCTTCCTACTTTCAGCCCTCCCTCTTCTCAGCTCAGCCATGACATATGAGCACCGGTTTGAGATCGAATGCCTGGAGTGCGGCAGCTGTAATCTCCACTATGACAAGGCTTCCCGTTTCGGAGAGGTTCTTCTACTAGCTTCAAGGATATAGGGCTACGTGGAGTGGTTTTCTAGGGGGAGGTGGAGGTCTTCTAGATCTCAGTTCCTGGTTTCCTCGCCGCAGGACAACAGGGTCTTTTGCCACGAGTGTGGCACCTTGGCATGCGGCGTCGATCCGCTGGGGCTGAAAGAAATCGACGAGGATTGTTGAGGTTTTTCAAAAGGGCCTCGGGTAGGAGTTATTGAGGTGTAGCTTTTGGAGCTAGTCTAAGTGTGGGAGCTTAGCATTGTGGTTCACATAGATACGTAGAGGACGACCACGTGGACGTCACCGTGTATGAGTGCAAGGATCACGCTACTGGCAAGTTGTACCAGAAGGCCAGCTTCCTTTCAAGTTTCGGGGTTAATAGGGTCTAGCGTTGGGTTCTCACAGTGCCCTAGCTTTTAAGGTCTAGCCATCCCCGTTGTCTCCTGTGCGGGAGGCGATCCACACCCACCGAAGCGACTTCAACAAGAAGCGCTGGCGGTACACGGCCCGGTGCCGCCCGGGTGGACGCTGGACAGCATTCTTTCTTCTTTTTTCTTTTTAGGGAGGGGTGGTGTCTTAGGGTCAGGTTTTCCTTATCTCGCTAGGCTAACTGGGGGTCCAAAGACTGAGTCTCCTGGGGGTGTGTGGCTATGGTTCAAATATTTACCCTAGGGTTGCTGAGTTAGTCCTCTTTTCCTTATGCTCTTAAACCCTAGAGGTCTGACCAGAACGTTTGCCGAGCGCCCGTTCGGCTTCTACGGAATGAGGGCCTGGCTCGCGGCGTATGCCGCAGGAAGTGAGGAAGTTATTTCGGGGCCCACGGAGTGCATGGGCCGTACGCTGACCGGAAGCGCACTTTGCCGGCAACTCGCCAAGAAGTGGCGAGGCTGGCTTACCCGAGGAATGCCGCCTGTTGCGGGGAGCTTTCCGGCGCTACGGCCACCAGCCTGTGCGGAGAGGGCCACGGGCGAAGCGCGAAGCTTCGCCCGCCCCATCGTTCCATTGGTCGGACTGGGAGAAATGATGTATCATTGAGTTATTTTCGTGTTTTAGATTTAAGCGGTAGGTCTTTAGGAGGAATTCGCATCCAAGAGGTTTAGAACGAAGCAGCTAGAATCAAGATCATTTTCTCCCAGCTTCGCTACCAGGGTTTGATGGGAGCAGCACATATGGTCTAAGTTTACTAATCGGAACTAGGGGGTATCTAAACGTAGGGTTTGAGTAGCCTTCCGCACAGGCTGGGAATATATAATTCGCATTGGTGCGGCTGCATTTGCGTGCTCTTCTGAACCCCTCTCTTTTGGGGGGTTCCGCTGCACGCTGTACTTTTATCTTGCCAAAGAGCTCCTAATTCGCGATGCGCGGTCCAAAACAAGAACTGCGCAAGGGCGCCTGGGATCGAGGGGTTGCTCGGGGGTTTCGGGGTGGACGAGGTTTCAGGGTTCTTCTTCTTGGGTCTTCTCTCCGGGCTTGCCCCTTCCTTTTGGGATCTTCTGCTTCTGGGTGGCTTGTTTTTTTTGACAGCACAGAGAGCTCCCGAAGGGGGGAAGGGAACTTCCCCCCTAGAACCCCCCTAACCTTTCCCTCAGCATCTTCTTTTCGCATTCCGCTGTCGGGCTCCTTTACTTTAATTTCCTTTGGGAGCAGGGGTTTCCAAGCCTCATTTTAGGCAGGCTCTCTCTGAATCAAGGCCCTGGGGTTGTCCGGGTTCTGAGTTTCGACTACTGGCGCTGTGGAGTATTGTGCACCTTCGTTTCCTTTTGTTGCAGTCCAAAGGTGTGGCTTTGAGGGTTGGCCGTGACGGCTTTGGTCGTGGGTTTCAAGCCTCGTCGAACAGGTCCAGGACAGCACAGAGAGCTCCCCAAGGAGGGAAAGGAACTTTCCATCAGCATCTTCTTTTCGAATTCCGTTGTCAGGCTCCTCTAGTTTTTGTGGTCTATGTCCAAATGGGTTTCGACTACTGGCCTTGTGGATTGTGTCCCTTTTGTTTTTTCTCTCCGTTTCTTGGAGTCCAAAGGTGTGGTTTTGAGGCTTGGCCGTGGGAGGGCTTTCGTCGTGGGTTTCAAACTTCGTCGAACAGGTCCAAGACAGCACAAAGAGAGCTCCCGAAGGGGGGAAGGGAACTTCCCCCCTAGAACCCCCCTAACCTTTTCGTCAGCATCTTCTTTTCGCATACTGCTGTCAGGCCACATGCCACGAGGTATATATATATATATATATATATATATATATATATATATATATATATAGTCTCAGAGGCAGGTCTTGCGCTGCTTTCTTTCTTGGTTATCTCCTTCCATAATATAAGGCCGTTGCGCTCTGGTCTTGTTGTCCGAGGAGCTTGTTACACTGAGGTAGCCCCTAACTTTCCAAGACACCTTGCCGCATCCCTGCAACTCTCTCTGCTTGAGTTCTAGGCAGGGTTAGCCCTCGCGTCCTTGGGAGCGCGAGGTTACCGGGAACCGCCCGCGGGGAGGACTCACGGCAAGGGTTTTTGGTTCCCATTGGTTCGGCGCATTGATGTAGACGATGTAGGACCTGGGCTTGCGTTTCTTAGGGTGCGGGGTCACTGCATTAGAAGGTTGAGGGCGGGAGAGGGAGAGAAAGAAGGGGAAGCGGAGCGGTGGGGATTCTGCACAGAGTCTTTCTTTCGTTCTGGGTGGAGTATGGTCTCGCGCAGAGAAGAGGTGAAACGACAGAAAGGCGACCACTACGGCGGTGCATCCGGGACCGGGTAGAAGTGCTCCTGGTCCACGTCGCCCAAGAAGATGAGATCGTCCAAGCGGCGCACACGACTCACCGCCACGTAGCCGAGTCCGGGCACGCCTTTGGCGTCCAGGAGCAACGCAGCGAAGTCCAAGGTGGCGCCCTGAGCCTTGTAAACGGTGGTTGCGTAGCCCGGTTCCAGATGGAAGCCGGGGTGCAGCACGTCCTCGCCCCTCTTGTTCTTGATCCAGTGGTAGGTCGGCGGCAGCAGCTCGACGCCACGAGCGCCCCCAAGCTCCAGCAGCAGTCCTCCCGGACAGCGGAAACCCGCGCAGCGGCCTTCCATGGGCGTGCAGCCTTTCAGCACGCCCGGCTGTCCGTTCATGAGGCCGCGCTCCTCGGATTGGTTGAAGGTCATGGTGATCGGCGTGTCGACATAGAGCTCCACATAGTCCAGCTGCGTGGCGTCCTCGTTCCAGACCGGGACCTGGCCCAGCGAGGCGTGGTTCTCCTTGTGCCAGTCCAGAGCCACGCGGTTGGCCCAGGCGGCGCCGCGGCGCGTGCCCGCCAGGACAGTGACCTTCCCCTCGTGCTTCTGCAGCAGCTTTCGCAGCGTGTCCTTGTCCCGGGGAAAGACTCGGTTCTTTCGCAGGCGCCGGACCAGCGGCTTGTCTGGCACCCGGTCCCGCAGCACGCTCAGGATGTCCCGCAGCCGTGAGTCTGTACAGCGGACCTGGGTGCGCAGCTCGTGGCGCTCTAGCCGTTTCCACAGACTGGAGGACTGCGCGTTGCTCGCCTCCGGCCCGGTTGCTGCAGCGGTCCGCTGAACGAAGGGCAGCAGCTGCTTGAAGTCTCCGACGAAAATCAGCACGGGCCAAAAGCCCAGTTCGGCCCAAGTGCGGTAGATGTGCTCGAAGACTTGCTGCGCGAGGAGGCTGGCTTCGTCCACCACGATGACGCGGAAGCGCTGGAGCGTGAGGTTCTTTGGCCAGAGCAAAGCTTCGTCCTCGTCTGCCTTCTCGCGGTCCACCGGTATTTGGAAGGCCTTGTGCACGGTCTGGACCACGACACCACGCAATTTTTCGCGATAGCTGACACCCAGCTTTGCGGCGGGCGCCGCCACCAACACCGGCTGCTGCTGGCGTAGCACCTCATCCAGGAAGCGCACCACCGCAAAGCTTTTTCCGGAGCTCGGCACGCCCGTGAGAAGCACCGGGCGGGTCTGTTGCAGCAACTCCTGGAGGCAAGAGACGGTTGCTTTGCCGTTCTTAGGGGTGGTGGGGTGGTTCTTTCTTGCCCATTGCAGGTGTGGGTATTTAGTTAGAAGACCAGATACAGATACCAAAACACAAAAAAATAATGTCACTTCTACGATTAGAAGTATTCTTCCTTAAAGCAATGCTGCAGCCGAGCGGCAGGGTAGTTGTCCTCCTCACGCAGCTTCACCAGCTCCCAGAGTCGTCGGAGCACTGCGCTCTGTTCGGCATTCAGCGGCTTGTCGAAGTCGGCGTACGGGCCACCGGCAGCCGCGGCGGCGGCTTGGGCAGAGACGCCCTTCGGCAGGCGTCCGGCTTGTTGTGCTTCGAGCAGGAAGCGCGCAGTCGCCAAGCGCGCCACGGTGTTCTCCACGAATTCCAGGCGATGGCCTTGGTCTAGTAGGTGCCGCCGGATCCAGTCTTCGTTGCCCCAGCGGTCGGGCGTCAGAGCGCAGGCGACGGCAAACCAGCGCAGGTCGGGGGCCACTCTGTCCAAGAGCTCCTCGCGGACGCCTAAGTGTTCGTCGTTCTTTGTTGTTTCAACGTTCGCCCGCACCAAGACCCTTGTGGCCGTCAGAATCGGGACCTTGGGATTCCGTTGTTTTGGGAGTTGGGCAGGGGTAGGACCCAGTTGCAGATATGGTAAAGGTTCATTGAAAATGTGCATTCATATCTGTTAGTTCTTGTGGGCCCCCCTGATTCAACTGCTAACGTCAAACTTCCGTCGAGCCCAAACTAAGCCCTTGCACGTCTACCCCACGGCCGTAGCCAAACTCCACTCTGAGCTTCAACCTCAATCTTCTTTTTCACCTTAGCCTGAACATACCGTTGGCCCCAAATGCCGCACATTAACACCGCAATGTTCAAGATTGCTCGCTGCAGGGCCTTTCGTGTTCCAAGTGTTGAGAAAGCAAGCACATATGTGCTGTACGAGCTGCAGATATTTGCCCATAATGTCTGTACAGTATGATCATGCATGCATGTGTGCGCACACTTGCATGCACATGTGTGTATATTCTCTTGTACAGACGAGGCCACAGCGAAAAAGCTTGCCGCCTATGTCCGCGACCGCGGAGGCACAGTTGCTCTCGGTGACCTCGAGGTGCCGGCAGCCGCAGGACGTTCGTCCTAGAAATGTAATCTAGGGGCCTTAAGAATGAGAATGATTTTGGGGCCCATTTCATGATAAGCATAATACGGAACCCCCAAAACAATCTAGCTGATTAGTAGGGCCCTTACCTTGGGGTTTAGATTCAGGTGGGGTTTGGGCTTAGGGTCCCAGGGTGTATAGGGATCTCTCGGAGCAGCGATTGCAGAGTCTTAGACGTTAGCTTGCGCCCAGGCGTTTAGGTCGAGTGTGGGGAAAGGGTTTGAGATTACGTAAGTTTGAGGATAGTTTCAACCCTGCGCTACTATACGATGCCAGACCACCGCATGTCCTGCCCATGAGGTCACCCAGGATCCGAAGTATCGCGAGTAGTGCCGGTAGGATACTGCAGGAGTACGTTTAGCTACGGTTTGAACACTCGCGCACCCCTCAAGCAAGGATGTTTTGTTCAAGCGCCGTAGAATAATGCCGAGGAATATTCATGGGTTGAATGACGAGGGCTGCTCCGCTGATGTCCGGTTAATCATGGACCTGATTATTGATTATTGGGGTTTCCCCGTGCACTGATAGTGACATCTCTGGCTTCGGGTTCATGAGCTTCATGAAGGGATTTCCTTGCCACGAAGGGGAAGTTAATCCTCGAAGTGTCAACTGACCATAGGTGGACTTGCAAAAGGCCTTGCAAAGTTGTGGGACACTGTAGTTTCAATGAGACCTGCACGAAACATTCTCGAGAATGACATCCATTCTTACCTCACTGTGTCACTAAGAAGCCGCAAACCCCAAATTTTGAACTTTGGATTCCTGTCCCGATTGCTTCCGAGGTTTGGAAACGTGAGAATCCAACACTGGCAAAGACCATTCACAAAGGAGGCGAGCTTATTGCTGGCTGATATAGGGGCCTTAATAATTACCTACACTATTCCTCATTATAATTACAGTATAACGGGCCACAAGGCCTATTCTACTTCTAAAGGCTCCTATATTATGGAAGTTTAGTCCACTTTCCCGGGCAGGCTCAGGATTTAGGAATGTAAAGTGTGGTTGCCCAAGGCTCATGGTGTAGCGTGAGTTGTTGCAGGACGTTCCATGAAGGGTTTCTTCGACGGATGTGCATGCGCACAGAAGCTGCTCACAGTCGAAAGTTTCTCTGGTGTTGTGACGAAGGCGCACGGTTTACTTTTTGCTTGATTGCTGCAGACAGCATCAAGGGGTGATCGAAGAGATTTTCGGAGCATCCCGTTTGTGCAGCCGCTGGCAGGTGTCCTTAAAGACAGCCAATGGAGCTCCCACAGGCGCAGGTGATGACGACAGTGCTCGTGCCGCTGCCAACCGTGCTCGTGTCGCTGCTAGCCTTGCTCTGTATCTTCGCGTCAAGGGCGGCTCCATGCAGGCATGCGACATCCATGAGTACTATAGAGAGTTCCCCGAGCACAAGCAAGCCATCGGCAAGCTCCGAACTTTCTGCGAAGAGCAGAATGGTCTCCTTGTGTTTGAAATGGACTCTGCTGGTGGCAAGATTTCTCTTTCTGGCCACACAGCAACTTCTCAGTCGAAGCCGCTGCCGCAAGCCCCAGACATGATACTGAAATCAGCCGACAATGCAGCTCTGGCGACACAGACGGCTCTAAAGGCGGCCAAGGGAGCCCTCACGAGCTCAAGTGTTGACCGCGCTCGTGCAGCTGTTCACCTTGCCCTGTATCTCCGCGGCAATGGTGGCTCCATGCTCGCTTGCGACATCCATAAGTATTACGCGCAGTTCCCTGAGTACAAGCAAGCTATCGGCAAGCTCAAGACTTTCTGCGAAGAGCAGAGCGACCTCCTTGTCTACGAAAAGGACCCTCGCCCTGGCAAGATTTCTCTTCCCAGGCATTGCACGGAGGGCAGCTGGGCGAAGAGCTTGGCAACAGCCTGCCAAGTTGCAGCTCCTCGCTCCAAGCCGCCACCGCTCCCCGAAGTGACAGTGGATTCAGCTGACAACGCAGTTTGCATAGCTGCAAGCCTTGCCATATTCGTCCGGAGCCAGGGAGGTTCTATAAGCGGTAGCAACATGTCTGAGTACTACACGAGTCACCCCTCGCACAAGCAGGTGATATCGGAGACAGGCTTGAGGGTCTTCGCAGAACGATACGATGGGCTGTTCAGGTTCGAGCCACTTCCAGGCAGTGGCACGCTGTCCTTAAGGTCGCATTGTTGCCACTATTTGAGAGGGGAATGTGTGCATTCTACTGACCACGATGGGAAGCTGCACTCTATCCCGTCCTCCTCTCCTGTTTTGTGTGCCTTCGGCCCGAACTGCAAGCAGGGCCACTGGAAGCTCCTGGAGGAGCTTGCTGCACGGAGTAAGCGTGCCGGCACCTCGCCAACTCCCTCCAGCACGAAGTTAAACGTGTCGGAGATCCGATGGACTCACGATGCAATCCGCGCAACCTTCCGAGATGGAAAGCTGCTGATGGAGACTCTCGTGGATTTGCTAACGGGCAAGCTGCGACCCTCCGACCTCCCGATGGTGGAGGTACTGGAGCTGGGCGCCAGCTTTTATACCATCGAGGGCAACCGCCGCCTCTGGATTTTCAAGGAGCTCCAGGCAATCACAGGAGAAGAATTGACTATCGAGGTCAGGAGAAAGACGGATGTCAAAGGCTTCACGCAAAGCTTCACCTCCAAGAACGGAGGTCAGTCTGTGGAGTTTTACACCAAGAGCAGAGACAGGACTGCCAGATCACTGCCCTGTGCTCTAAGGGCTAGGGTTTGGGAAAGAAGCCTATGGAACTCCCCGTCTTGCAAGAGCCTGAGACCTGGAAAGGACTTACCCCAGCATGAGCTTCGCCCTCGCCGTCTTCTTCGGCCGGGTGCGGGGTGAACTGGAGATGAGCATCGGCCGCGAGGTCGCCAAGGTGCGGCTTTCGGGGTGCACGATTAATGCTTTCGGGTTTAGGGCAGGTTTAGGGTTAAGGGTTTAGGGATTAGAGAGCAGTCGTTTCGCACAACATGGCTGCCAACTGCAGAGGCACCCACTGCAATGATGAACGTCGAGGCCCTGGCCGCTGCTATTGCTCTCGAGGTGGCATCTCTGTGCAGACGAGAGTCGGGGGGACGCGAACAGCGGTTTGGGGTTTGGGTTGAGTGGTGTAGGTTTGAGGAATTTCGGGTTTAGGAGTGAGGTCCCTGTCCACTCGCAGTTCCGCAATCGTGTGTAACTGTATACGCTTTCCGAGCACTGCCCTGCCAAACCCTGACATGTGAGGACGCACACGCTAAACCGCTCAACCCTCGGACCCCTGACGCCAGAACCCCAAGACCTGAGCGAGGTGGGTCCTGGCTTGGAGTCACAGCTTCGGCAACGGCCGGATCTCTTCCAGCTCACCAAGGGCGAGGCAAGCAAGGGCTGAGGAGCTGAACTTGCCCTCAATTCAACAACATCGCTGAATAGCACCCAAATCCGCGTGCCTAAAACCCCAACCCTGCACCCCAAAAACCCCTCCACCCTAAGCCTCTACACTCCGAGCTTGGGTTTCTATGCGCTTCGACGGACGGAGCAGGTGAGCCTGGCCGACTGCATGACCTCTTTCGGAGCCTGGGCTGCAGGTTTGGAGCTTAGACAAACTTAGAAAGTCGCAGTACCCAAAAAATAGCAAAGATCATCATCGAAAAACAGCCTTAGCAGCCGTGTTATAAGTTTGCTGACAAAGATAACAGGGGACATAGTCACGTAAACGTGCAGCACTCATTCATAGTACACATAATAGTCCGAGCAAGAGTTGCAAAAAGTAGTGGTTTGTTGTAGCAGCAGCAGTAATCAAAATTATGGGACGGATCTTCAGCTTCAGTCTAGACAGACAGAGCAAGGAGGTGACCAGAGGACCGAGCATGGTGACGATTCTGGTGTTGACATTGAGCACCGTAGTCACGGTTACGGTTTGGACTGAGACTACTAACTAGCATTCCAGAGTCAAGGCTTTTGGAAGAAATATCATACGATCTTTTGAGGAAACTCGAAAAGGGAAATACGGTGGCAAGGAAACGTCCCGAACTAAGTCAAAGAACTCCATTACACAGCTTCGTAAGGCAGCAGGACATCAGCAAGAAGGGGCAACCACGGGGAAGTTTGACAGGGAAAGAAGAAACGAGTTCGTGAGAATGCCGATCGAGGAGTGCTGACCGCGCATGCTGCTCCGAACGATCCGCCGCCTGCAGACAAGCACGATGAAGCAGAGGCTGCACAGAGCATTTTGCACAGGTTGTCAGGGTTTTGTGCGGTGCAAGGCTCGGGCTCTTGCAATCTGGTTTGTCGTTCTGTGGGCTGTTACCGTTTACACTCAGAGATCCCTGCATTGCAGTATTCTCATGTTCGAGTAAGTTTCGAGATTGCGAGAAAGGCACTGCACATTAGATCTGAACCCAACGTCATTTGCGCTCTGACAAGGCTGCTGGCGACAATGCAGAGGGAGCGAATGCTAGCACGATGACAATAACAATGAGCACGATGACGACGATGGTGGTTTAATGACAATGGTGTTGTGAGTCATGATAGTGTCGATGATGATGATGTGGGCAAAAAACAGGAGCAGAAGGCACAGGAGCACCAGAACTAGCACCACACAGGAAGAGGGTGAACGTTTCGCGGGCATGATTCCGGCTCGAAAGTCCAGGGCCTGGAGCTTTGGTATGACGGGTTCAGGGGTTCAGGATCCTACCGTTGAAGTGCTACGCCTCAATCCATGTGGCAAGCGACGCAAGGAGAAGCTGCAGATGCCAGAGTCAGAGCTCGCAGCAGGCACCGTGCACCTGAAGCATTTGCATGCAGGCTTTCGGGAGCTATCACACTGACCCTTGAGTTGCCTTCGGAGGCGCATGCAGCAGCCCCGTCCGAGGACCTGATCAACTAGATGCAGAAGACGACGGCTGCGGGGGAGAGACTGCCGAAGGACATGCATCGCATGAAGAAGGGTGGGGGGAGACCTACCAAAGCTTGCAACAGCCCAATCTTTGGTAGGCCATGGTCCGGTCACTAGCCGGCACTGTCTTTCAGATATGCAGGACGTCGAACCCGTCGAGGACGTCGAGGAGGGCGACGAGCCGCTAAAGCAGGCTTTGACTACGATGCTTCTTCAGGGACAGAACTTTCAGGATCTACGTTTGAGGATTCACGGCTTCTGGTCTTCTGGTCTTGAACCAAGGCTTGAAGTTTACAGTCTGGTGATGATCGTAAGCCGTGTTCAGCAACCAGAACATGACACGTTTGCAAAAGCAGTCCCGATCAACAGTTTCTGCGGCCTCATATGGCCATTCCCTTGCTCACTTTCCGTAACTCGGGGCGAGCAGCGCGGGGTTTCGGATTTCCGGCACATGCTCATCCAAAGGTTTGGCTTGTCAGATTATGTGTCTCATGCTGCTCCTACTCCTAGTAAGATTGTAGAAAGACCCCCAAACGGAAGGATCATTCAGCCGCGAGAGATCGTAATCGCTTTCTCGCGGCCTTGCAGTTTGGAAGGCCACTACCAACTTGCCGTTGAACTACAATGCGAACACTTCTTGCTGACAACCTTCATCTTGTTACTGAGTGAGATGCAAACAAAAGCGTGTATTCCCTGGAATGTCTTACGCGTGTAACTGGGAATGTCCTCAGTGCTACTAGCCTGTGCTCGAGCTCGTGAACATTTGAGGGATGGTCGGCTCCCCCAAGTTCTGTTCTTCATTCCACGTCCGTCGTGCCTGAAGTGCATCTTTGGCCTCTCGACGTCAGACTCTTTAACTTCCCTTGAACCCTGAACCCTGAAAGGAACAACCCGTGGGCTGCAAGGCGAAGAGCGGCGCTGGGACGAGATTCTCAGGGAGATCCTTCAGGCAGCTTCTTTGCAGAGGCTGTTTGCGATTTAGTTTAGCGTTAGAGTTTATGGCATGCAGTAACTGCACGATGCTTCCCGTTCTGACACGGTGCTCCAAACAGTTTGCGCACGTTGCAGTCACCAACGGGCACCTGTCAGGCACGCGAGGGTTCCGTTCCGCTGTCGGAGCTGAGCGAGACTGTGAAGATGTCCCAGGCCTGGGTGGTTCGAGATGCTCCGACTTGTGCAGATTCGATCTCGACATCTTGTGGACCCGACGCAGTAGTCCATCTGGTGCCCAAACTGTGTCAGCCTGTGTTCTTTGGTCTTCGGTTCGGCATGGGCTCTAGCAGGAGACCTTGCTGGTCTTGCTGAAGCAATCGGAGCAATTCCACATTGCCTCGTTGTCACCCGGCTGCCCTGGATCAGGGTTGCAGGGCTTTGGCCCGCGAGGGCCTGGATCGAGATTCCTGGGCGTGCTCCCCAGAATTGCCAACCGTGTCTTTGCCCTTGTGTTCGTCAGAATCAGGGTCGATTAGGGTCACCTTGATTTGTCAATTGTATTTTACTGACTGCTTTTGCCTCCCCCCTTGTTGAGCCAGTCTGTGTTGTTTAGCTTCACTGTGTTTTGCAAATGTCACTGTTAGATATGTCCCTCGATATGCCCTTAGGCCCGCCCTTCTTCTGACCCCCAGCCTTTTTCGACCCCATATCAGCTATTGGAACCCCCTGAATGCTGCAGCCGGCAGCGGCCATTTTGTTGACCCCCAAACATCGGTTGTCTGACCCCCGATCCATGTGACGAACAAGGCAACAAAGAAAAGAGTCAAAAGATAAGAAGCTAGAAAAGGCCAGGGGAAAATGTGCAGTACACCTCAAAAGCAGTTCATCATGCATCTAATGTAATAGTAACAACAACATCATCCGGGCCAGTAGTGGGACGCCTTGTAAATGCCGACGGTGCAAAGTCAGTGCTTTACGGTTATGCGTGGCCTGCATAGTAAACTGCTTGTCGTATCATGCGGTGGCTGCAACATGTTACATTCTCGTCGTTTTCGTTTGGTGGTTGTATGCATATGCACTTGTTTTGAACTTGTCGATTCTTGAAGATGCGTTTCGTGTTGCCTGTGTGGTGCGCAAGCCTGCTTTCCGAATCCTTTCGTGAGCATTTCAGTCTTCAAAAGCTTCCTTGCGTTTTACGTGCACTAATCGTGCGTGCCATGGGGCCAGGCGACGACAATTTTGCATCTTTGGAATTTCGGGCTTGCCTCTGGTGCAGCCAGCCTGGGAAAATTTTCTTTTTCCTTTCCAGCAGTGAACTTGGTTTTGGAGGCAGTGCGGCATGTTTGCTGCCCCATCGGTTGCACTGCAGCATGTCTCCCGTTCCCATTTCCCGGAGACGTGAGGCCACCCAATCAACCACCCCCTTGCCGCAACCCCAGCAGAGAAAACACTGCAAAGGCCGATATCTTCGGCACGCCAAGCAGAGGAAGCACGATAAGAGCCTTTTTCGGCATGACCGGAACACTAACCGTATCGATGTTTTCGCGATGTGAAGCACGCACAGTGACAGTAAAGATCTATGAATCGACCTAAATCCGAACCCTGCAAGCCCTCAACCCTAGATCCCTTTATGAACGAAAGCTGTGCCCCGATTGATTCGATCCAAAGCCCAGCCGAGATCATTGAGCAAGTCTCTCTGTAGGTTTACATAGATATTATAGCCAGGTCCTCAGACAGAGAACCCAAACGTGAACTCGTCGCCTGCAACCTACTGTAATGCCTGACACTAAGGGAGTCCGATTCTCTGGTCTCCCTCGCCGACTGCCCGGCTGGAACCGGGTTCCAACAGCCTCAGAGGCTCAGTTCACAAGCTTCGGGGTTTTGGGTAATTTCCAAAAAGATCATGTTTCGCAAGTAGTCTAAGTCCTGAAATCACGGCTTTGTTGGGGTCTCGTCTCTTCGAAAACTCCGAAATTGCTCTTGCAAATGGGATGCGTTTGCCCCTCTCGCTATACACCTGCCAGATCCCAAGCTTTCGACCCTGCAAAGGTGGCCCTTCATCTGTCGGAATCATGTATCTTTTACCCTTAGACTCCAACCCGGCGCTCGGAGACTCAGCTGTTGGGGGTCTTCGCGTTTCTAGGCCTGAGGGTTTGTGAATCTCCGCCCTGGCTCCTCAGATGTTTCTTCGTCTTTATCTCCCCCCTTCTCAACCCTCCGAATCGCCGTTTACACGGCATGGAGGGGGTCTTGTGTTCCGGCTTTGCCGTTGTCGGTGGCAGAGGCAGATTTAGTGCAACCAAGGCCTCTTGTACTACAGAATTCAAAGCAGCAGCAGCAGCTTATCCGGTGACGGTGCTAGACTAGGAAGTCGAATAGGCCGAATCCACGGAAAGGTCTTGTTCGTTCCAGGCTTGTGCCGGATTCTGAAACCTTTAATCCGGGGGTGGAGGGCGTGTGTGACATGTTTGTGTGGGTTCTTTGCAGGATGGACATCTCCTCGGATGCCGACGACTCCACGGTGGAGGCAACTGATCCACCGGGGGACATGAGCCTGGGGTACAAGACCTTCGCCGCCACACCTCGCCTAGATCTTCTGCTCTTGGATTTGCCACCTTTCACCGTTTTGTCCTTCTGCGCTAGCTGCTCTGTTGTTCCGAGCACTACAGCTAATTCTATGTTTTTCGTTACTTCTGCATCTATTCACGACATCGACGTCCAATCTCGACAGTTTGGAAAACTCCGTGCTTTCCAGAAATTTGCCCGACTGGCTCGATGTGAACAGGATGCCGAATATGGTTTGGAATTCTAGGCTTCGTTTTTGCAGTCATTCCTACATGGCAAGGTCTAGGGGAATAAGCACGTTTAGGTGAACCTTAACGTGTAGTGGCGACAAGGGCGACAAGAAAGCCGCTTTCCCAGCTTTCTATTTGCCCGACTGGCTCGATGTGAACAGGATGCCGAATATGGTTTGGAATTCTAGGCTTCGTTTTTGCAGTCATTCCTACATGGCAAGGTCTAGGGGAATAAGCACGTTTAGGTGAACCTTAACGTGTAGTGGCGACAAGGGCGACAAGAAAGCCGCTTTCCCAGCTTTCTACCCTCAACCCTAAACTTTATCCTAGTTCCTAAATCCTACTCCCTAAACCCCCCCTGAACCCCAAATCCCAAGCCCTAAACCCTACTCTGGGTGTTCCGAAAGCCCCTGCAGGCTGCGAGCCTCGAGGAGGAGCTGAGCCATCTCTTGCGGGCGAAGGGGGGCTCGATGCCTCTCGCGGAGATGGAATGGGCGGAGGCGGCTTCGGGTCGTTTAGGGTTTGAGGCCTGGGGGTTCCTTACTATAGTTATTATAGTATAAGGGGCCCCGAAACCCTATTCTAACTATTCAGCGGCTTCGGGTCGTTTAGGATTTGGGGCCTGGCTTGGGTTTCGGTGGGGTTCCGGATTTAGGACTTAAGGCCGGCTGCACGGGCCACTCGAAGACGTTGGAAATTAAGGATGGTTTTGAAGGCTTCTGCTACCTTTGCGTGATGCCCGGGTTGAAGCCCAAAGCTTTATGCAGGTGCCGGTGAGACTTTGTTGGAATTCGGGACGTCCTGTTTGAAGCTTTTGCAGAACCCATCTCCAACAGCCTGCAGGCGGCAACGAGCACAGGGAATCTCACGGCTGTGTCTTTAGCACCCTGATGCGGTGCTTTAACGCCAAGGAAAACCACAACACAGCTGCAAGCCCGTGAATCAGGAACATTGTCAGATCTTGGAAGCATGCTGCAGCTGCAGGTGTGCATGACGCACTTCAAGAACCTTCAAGAGTTGGCATCTTTCTTGGCAACTCGGCAGCAGTAGCCACTTGCAGCGTTGCAATAGTTGCCTCTTTCAACATTATGATTGCTATGATTGCTGCTGTCACTGGTGCATTTGTTGCTGCCATTGCAACCAACGACCCCACTAAACATATGATGATGCGGGATAGTGTTTTGAAGTTTCCGGCTATCGTCACAAGAATAGCGTTCATGGCCACTATACCTTCCCCGTTCCATTTAGTTTTCTATCTTTTCCAGGGTGTGGGCTTCTCTTCGGGGGTTCGAGTGGGACTCCGGAGGGTTTTTGAATGGTGTCTGTTTGGCTGTCCGTTCTTCGGAGGCCGGGTTCACGGGTTCCTTCTCTCGTGGTGTGCAAAACTGGATGTTCATTATTCGGCTTTCGGGCAGTGCGCGCAGCCTTCTAAGGATGTGGGGGTTGCGGAGTCTGATTCTGGAAGATAGCGTCCCAACACCTGACCTTTGTCAAAACATATTCGGCGACCTCATTGTTGGCTGTGGTTCCAACTTACCACCGAAAATGCCCTGAGATATTCAAGCCTGAACCCCGACAGCCGCACTAGGATCCTCTGCTTCTTCGAACGAGCTCCCAGGAATCTCGACCCCGACGCTTCTCCGTGCGCTGGGAGGGCACCCAACAGGTCCCAAACGATCATGTGGGCAGGGAGGGAGGTCGGGAGGCACTTGCAGTTCGATTGTACAACAGGGGTGACATCTGTAAAGATACTTTTCGGATCACCAAGGCTCGAGCAGTATTGGGACGCTATTTGTAGCAAGGGCCATAAGGAGTATATTCTTTCACATAGCTCGGGGCCTGAAGACTCAATTGGCATACTTGAAGCCCTGAGGCGAAGCTGGTGGGATCACAGAAACCGTCCCAAGCCTTGTGGTTCTTGCATTCGGGGGGCTGCTGCTACGAGGTTTTCTGACCAGCCGATCTGAGAGGTGGCAGGGGAAGCCTTCATCCTCCAGTTCCAACCCCAAATGTCCCTGAGCCCTTTTCCACACATAGCCGCCAGGTTCGGTGTGCCCGCAGAAGGCCTGTAAAAATGCTTGAACACTTCGTACTGTAGTACTGTAGCTTCGTACCCTACACTCTGTACTAGCTTGAAAGTACAGCGTCTCCAACATCGTACTGTTGATGGACAAAATCCTGCATGACCCTAAGGACTCTAAACTATGGGAAGTATAGTATCTTCCTCATAGTGGGTAATGCAAAATTTTGTGCATGAAGAGTAGTAACCGTTTACGAGGCAGCTCGAAGCTTGTGCTTCTGAATGTAGGCCTTTGCAGGCAAGCCCTTGAGTCAATCGGGGCGGGTGCGAATCTGAACAAACCACCCTAAACCATGCAGCAACCAATACGCCCTCCCATATGCTAGAGCATAGCCCTCAAACTATTAAAGCAACAACTCCGCACTTATCGCTGAAACCTGCACTTACACCATAAACCCTGAAGCTGAAGCCCTTGACGCCAGGTTGTGGAAGATATGCTTCCCACCTTCGAGGCTGGACCAGAAGCCTATGATCGGACTTGCGGCTACCAAGCTGTCTTTGATTATTGCCGCCTTTGACGGTTTGACATGACTCAGTGGGTGCGATCTCTGCAATCAACTTTGGAGGTCCGTACTATGGTAACAGCAGAACCAATTCTGCTGGTTCTGGCAATCACACACAAGCCTGCACTCCTGGTTATTGAGGGGCATCGCCACCTCCGCTCACGCAGGCCCAAGCGACAGCACAGTAGACCCCGGTTGCACTGCGGTTTCAATCAGCCAAGCCGCTGAAACTCTAGGATGCCAGCTGCCATGCGAAATGTACAGCTCGCTGCTTTGGCATCGGCCTTCACAGCCGCGGCTTCTTTGTCAGTGCCGCTGCACGCAACGTTTTGGGGGGGCCCAAGGCTGCTCGTGGATGTCGCACCCGAAGCTGCGACCGGCAAACAGGTCCTTGGGCTCAGAAGAAACCTATCTATATACACATAATATTATATATATATATATATATATATGTACATATATATACTTCCAGATATAGATATAGATGTGCAAACTCAACATCCACAGCACGTTATGTAGTATGGCACATCTTGTCTGCATGGCATTTTGTATAGACTGCCGCCTGATACAGACCCACAATCCACGAAAGAACATGGCAAGAGCGCAAGATCACAACTCAGAAACAGCCCAGGTGGCTTCACAGAGACTTTTGTTGGACACCGGATCTTCCACGCTGGCTTTCTGTGAGCAAGGACTGCTCCAGCAGACGCTTTACGAGATGACGGACTATGTGTCCTGCAACGCCTACAACCCAGGCCGCCCGGCTTCTCTTGCACACTCCAGGGCTCAAGATTCGTGTGATGCTGACTGCGACTGCTGAGGTTTTCTGGCTATTGCCACGCTAGGTATGGTAGATGCGAAGTCTGTGAGTTCTTAGCGGTACTACTGCTATCAGCACGGGTCGGCCTTGCCAATACTGATGTATTGTCGGTTCTGCGATGGTTGCAACCGTGAGCATGAGCATCACCATCATCATCATCACTTTCGGCAGGTTCTAGGTTCGTTGATGATTGTGTATTTCGTGGGCTTGCTTCAGCTTCTGCTACTTTCTCCGAAGCAGGTGCCTGATCGGCAGTTGGACTAGCATTGTTGCGACGAATGTGTTAACTCTGCAGACTTGCCAGGCTTTGCCCGTCTCTCTGTCTGTCAGTTAGATATGCTGAGTTTCACTTGCAGCATGTCAATACTTGGTTTTGTTCAGGACGAGCGTTTTGGGCAGTTTTCTAGTTCTTCGGGTCTAGGTCCACACTCTGAGTGTGCTTGATTCTTGTAGTTCGTCTTCTGTACTGGTATAGCTTCGTTGTGCACCCTGAGGTGGCAACTACACAGGATATTGGGGGCCTTTCGTGGTCGGCGATCTCACCGCAGGCAACCTATCCATGCACAACTCCACCTACAGTGTCATGGCAAACCAGGCCTGAGATTGCAACCCTCGCTGGCCTAGCCCTGCAGTGCCCTTAAGGCCCCAAGCCCTAAACATCTCTCCATGATCCCAAACCCTGAAGCCCTAAGACCACAAACCCTGAACAGAATCCTTCAAACAGGTCGGTATGCCCTGCGGCGATGGCGTTGAAGGGATCTTCGGAATTGCTTTCCAGCAGCTCGATGCCCCCTGGCGAAGATTCCGTAGTATTTGGGAGACCCCTTAAATTGGAGGCGACCCTGTTGAGAGGGTCTTTATCCCCAAGGGCCCCCCCTACTCCGTGGTGGTTCAACGTTGGTTCCAGTAGCAACCATGGCAAAACCCATTGCTGTAGCAAGGAAAGGTGAAAAGCATCCAAGCTCGAACATCCAGGCAGGCGTGCCCGTCGAGTCTTTCTCGAACTGGAACGACACCGCATCGTGCCCCATCAAGAACGAAACGTTTTTGCCGCCACCGCTGCTGCATCAGCTCCAGGCTTCTTGAATGCTCAGCCTCCGTTTTTCTTTGATATGGATGGTTGTTAACATTAGGTTTTGGGTCCCTAACATAATACGATACGGCACCTATTTTTTTAGGGTAGCCAAAAAGGGAACCTAACTCCTGACAACTACCCATATCTTTTGAGGATTCCCAACTCATCTTTAGAGTTGAAGAGAGCAACCGTGCAGGTGGTTCGGTGTAGTTTCTGGAATGACATGAAATGGGAGTTTGACAAAATAGGGGTACCTTATTTTGGGGTCCTTATAATACGGATCCTACGATTTAGGGTGCTATATTAGAGCGGAAACCCCAAATGCTTGTCTCGATGTCACCAACTTTGCCTTGGAGCTTCCCATGCAGCTAAGGCTTCCGGCGGTGTGGAAGCCTTGCTGAAGATTGACGGTCAGGGTTTGAGGTTTGAGGGTGTAGATTCGGGTTCTTGGGACTCGCTTGGGCTTAGGGTTTCATGTCGTCTAAATGCAGACACATAGGGTATCACTGAACCTCCGAACAGTAGGGAAGACAATTCTAGATATTCTCATCAGGATCACCATCGAGACCAACGGCAGCAGCAACAGCACTGTGAGAATCACCATGGTCTTCAACATCCTCATCAGCAGAATCCGGACCATCATCCTCACCTGCATTGCTTCCATTCTCTCCAACTTCATCATCGTCACCGGCAGAATCCTCGGTTCATCCTCAGCTTCGTCGGTGCCGACCACCATCGCCATCATCATCATCATCATCATACATACTGGCTCAGTAGGACGTTGATGTGTACAGAGGCACTTAGGGACACTGTGCTTTGCAATGACGCAAAGTATGGTTGTCGTGTGGTAGCACCGCATTGGAGTAACACCTGACCTCAAGCACCCTAAACCCTGGAAAAGTGGTATGTTCTTGTGAATGGGTAAAAATTTGGGGCCCACAGCATTCCTTTCTGCATGTCTAAGGAGATGCTGGGCATCTACTGGTCCGGAGACATTGGAGAAGAGCAGGCGAGGCTCTACATCGATGAGGATGCCGTAAACGAGCACTACGACGCCGAATCCGTTGTGGGCCCTGTTGCCTTTGGGGAGCTGGGCTGGTTTGACGTGAATATTCAGCGGATCTCCGTGGGTGATGAGGAGTTTGTGGGCTTCAACTGCACAGGGAGGGCGATCGGCCAGTGCACCATGGACACCGGAACCCCTACTCTATTCTTGCCACAAGCTGCGCCTCAGCTGCCCAGCCGTCGCGCCTTTGCACCGGGTTTAGGGTTCAGAGCCCTGCTTGCTTGCAGGGATGCGATCGCAGGCTTTTCCTCGGCAGTGATCATGCTGATGATCGGCCCACACAGCCTCAGCCCTCAAACCGAAGGCGAAAGTCAGCCTGAAACCCCACCTCAGAAGGGGCAAACCCTGTGATCTTGAGAACCTCCTGAAGCCAGAACCCTTGTAGAACCGTTTCGAAAGCCATTATAGCAGCCCTTCTGGAAGCCTTGGCATAGAGAACCTGTATTATACTGGTCAAAGCATCAGTGGTGTTAATAGCAACAATCACAGTACAGCTTTCTGACAGCGACAGTATTCGTCATGATATTAATCAGAGATATGATATTTATTGATACTTGTATAGTGCCATGGTTGCCAGCCAGTACTTCTCGAAATGACGAGGTAGTCAATCACTCCAGCCAGCTGCTGGAGCAGGGCGAGTCCGCCAACCTCACCATTTGGCTCCTTTGGAGCCTTTCAGTTTGGGATTTTGTTGTGGAGGTTTTTGGCCTTGGAGTTTGTAGCTTTGAGGTTTCGGGTCTGACTACGGAGGTTGAAGGCTTTTTGGCTTTGGATTCGGCGCTTGAAGCTGCGGGCATTGCATTGGAGGTTTTGAGTGTCGTGTGTTGGCGTTTGTGGTTTTGAGTTAGGGGCTGCAGGCTTTGTGGTTTTCTGGTGGTCCTTGCCAAGCAAAGTGCCCCGCAGGACCTGGTTTCTATGACCTGCTAGAACACGAATCATCCCAACTACTCATGGCTAGGTACATCTGAGGCCCCGGACACAAAGCCATGAATACTCTAAATGGGGCGTTTCCGAAAATAGGGTACCCTAATTGATATAGCAGTAGGATGACTATTTTCAGGACCCCCATTAGCCCCGTATAAAGCCCTTTAAAGGAAGAAACCCTTTAAAGGAATCCTAAGCATGCCAAATCCCTAACCAGAACAACCCCCAGGCTTGAAGGAGCCTCCGGAGAGGCAGTGCCGGTGTCCTTCGATCTCGCCGCCCTCGGCGACTTGGACCTCGAAGGAGTTTGTATCCAAGTAAAGTACTAAAGGGCTGTGGCTTTAGGGCTTCCGTCTAAAGTTTTAGGGGTTTGGGGTTCAGTGTGTAGGGTTTAGGGCGGTGTCGTCCTCCTAAAAGGGCATGCCTTGTTCAGCGTCCTGCTCTTTCCTTTGCCCTGCCAAAGACTCGCATCTTGCTCACAAACACTCGCTCAATAACCCGAAATCTGACATGAACCCGAAACCCAAAGGTCTAAGAGCTTCCACACCGAATCTGAGAGAAACTAGCATGGCCCGCAAAAAAAAGCGCCCAAAGGCAACAACTCTCTGGAGGGCAACTCCCAAGACAGCAGCGACATTATCCTCGGAATGCCCCTTTGGGCCTTCTACTACACGGTCTTCAACATCACGGGCCACTCCGTGTCCCTGATCCCACATCCGCGCCCTGAGCCATATGGGAGTTTCCGAAAATTCCGGGTACCTTCTTTTGGGGTCCTTATAATAAGGATCCTTCTATTTAGGGTGCTATATAAGGGTCCCCTACTTCCAGAAACAGCCACATTGGGCTTTCAGATCAGGCTTGCTCTAGCGGGATTCAGGGGACGGAGGTAGATGGGAGTTTCCGAAAAAAGGGCCCCAATATCCAATATAGTAACCTAAATAGTAGGCTCCTTATTGTAAGTACCCCAATAAAGGTACCCCTAATTCTCGGAAACTCCCATATCCAAGATGGCATATATGGGAAACCACGCATCCTTCATCATGCCCGCCTGTGATGTTGACAGCAGTTTTGCAGATCTACAGCATGTCCCAACGCCTGACCCTAGCACAAAGCCCACTCACTTTGATTTAAGGTTCCTGAATCGTAAGTTCTGAACCTCATACCCTTCCACCGCAAAGAAAGCAGATAGGATCGAAGCTGCAGCTGCCATTCCTGTGGCGGAAAACTTCGTGGCGGAGAACGATCCCAGCCCAGGCTCCCCTCTGTCTTAAAAGGCCTACACTTTAAGGAGTCGGAATAATTAGAACAGGGTCTTGGGGCATGTTCTGCTGTAAACATACCGGTGTGATATTGGGACCCCCTTTTGCTAGCGATTCCAACCTCCACATTAAGCCACATAACCCTCATCTCCAAACTCCCAAGCCCCAAAACCGTCAAGCCTTGAAAGTTTCAAGCACCCAAAGCCTTCAAGCCTTAAACACCAATCCCCGAAATTTAAGTTCAGTGAACTAAAACAGCAAAGCAAGAAGCCCGGATCACCTTCATTTTGGAGAGAACTTCTCATGACTAGCCTCGGGTTCGGAGCCTGTAATGAGAAGTCAGGGAGAGCCGCTAAAATGAACGGGAAGAGTTGAGGGGTTTCAGGGTATAGCGAATATGGTTTAGGGTTTAAAGGGCTTAGGGGAACATGTAGTTGTGGGTTGCACAGGGTTTCATTCTTAAGACATGGGATGCCTCATGAAGCTAAGAAGGGATTCTGCAGGTCTATGCTAATTTTGGGATTGCTGCCCAAGAGCTTCGAGCTTCTCGTTTCTTTGAAAGAACCGGTTGGTGTCGACCACCACACCTTCTACAGAAGACTGTGTAGATGGCTCCGGGTTTCAGGACGTGTGTTTCAATTGCTTCTTGTTGACGAGGGGGTCCTGGTAGACTGGCGCCAAGGCTTGCAAAATTTGAATATACTTCTGTCATAAAAAACTACTCTTTAGTATGTAATATATTATGTTACAGTTCATTGTGTCATATCTTTCCAGCACTGCCACAAAATCGGACGAGTGCTTTCTTGTGGCATTCCCATGCAACCGTCCCCAAGCGCGCTTCAGGCCCCTTCGGTTCCCTGGCCATATTGTCGGGGCGAAACCCATTGCTTAAGGTTCCTTGGCTTGAAGCCCCCTGCCAGGTCTGGAGGAGCCACCGGTGCATGTTTGAGGAGTCTTTCCTCATCTTTTGTCTGACCTGGATGCACAGTGTTCGGAGGAGTTTGCAGGTTTCAAGAAACATTGGACCTCTGTGTAAAGTGGAGTGGCAGTCGCCTCAGTGGCGCTGACTCTGCGGTGGCTCCGCCGACGTTGTACAGGAACGCTAGCATCATGGATAATGTATAGAAGAGTTCAATGCAATTCAAAAAGTCCGTGGCTGCATAAGAGGGTTAGAGGCACTGGATAGCTTCCGACCACGGAAGCATGCGCAGCAGGTCGGGTCGTCATACTGCCCACAAGAGTGACTTAGACTGAAGTGCTACCTCCCATGCGGGTACCCGTTACGAAGCAGTATGCACTGTCAGAGAAGATCCCTCGAAGCCTTAGCTTTAGGTCTAGGTCAGAGGCAGTGAATTCAAGGGCGGTCTGCATGAGTGCTGCTTGTTTTGCCCCCCCCTTTGCCTGAAGCAGGCTGCAAGATTGGAGGTGGTGTCGCCGCAGCCGCCACTTGGCTTCAGTTGGCCCTGGGCTGACCTCGATCCTAGGCCAAGCAGCATTTCTGGTGTATTGCCCACTGGGCAATGCGCGAAGCAGCACTCCAATGGACTTTCTCAAACCGAAATTTGGACCACGAAACGTTAATCCTTCGGAAAACGAACCCAAAACGTGGAGCACTGTTCCAGTTTCCGCAAAACTGCTGCCCACAGTTTTCGGCGAGGATGCCCCGATGCCCGATACCCTCAACCTCCGCACCCGAACTTCCAAAATTTCCGGAAATCCCCAAGTCACGACCCAACCTCCCAGCAAAACTCTCCGGGAGTTTCCGAAAATAGGGGACCCATATATAGTTCCCCAAATAGTAGGATCCTTAGTATAAGGATCCCCAAATAAGGTACCCCTATTTTTCGGAAACTCCCACATCCCAGCGCACAAGCATAGGCCCGAGCCCGAGCCGCCTCCGACTCCGGCGGCATCTCTGCCAGGCCTCCCCTCAGAGCGGCTCATACTACTGCTGCTACTACTACTACTACTACTACTACTACTACTACTATGATGATATAAATCCTGCATTACCCATAATAAGGAATATGTGGGAATTTATGGTATATTCCTTATTATGGGTCATGCAGGATTTGTATCATCAGCAGTACTACCACCGCCACGACTACTACTACTGCTGCTACTGCTACTACTGCTGCTGAGACTGCTACTGCTACTGCTACGACGATGATTACTACTACTCATAATCGTGCCAAGCAAATGAATCATGCGAAATATAGGAATATGCCGAGCAAGAATATGGTAATAAAATCAGAGTACTAACCATGGAAACAAATGCAACAGTAATGCAAACAATACTACTACTAAACCTAACAATATGAATAATGATGAAGGCTTCAACAATAAGGAGAACCAAAAACAAAAAAATGAGTAATGAAGATAGTACAAGTAATAGTGGTAACAATAATACTATCACGAAAACAATAGCAAGAGTCATGATTATGATCATAGTCATAGCTGTGGCTGATAGTGTTAATAACAATAGTACCAACACTAACGACGGTAACCATTGTGCTCAAAGAAAATGCACACTAACAACCAGACTAGTAGCAGTCGGGATCCTGGTGGTAACGCTCTTAACGGAAAAGGGGGGGTCTTATCGGAAGCTTGGGAGGGGTTTACAGTAGGGTGGCCAGGGGTTGCTTGAAATTTAAGTTGACGGCAGTCGAGCTGATTAGAATGTAGAGTTTCGGGGTTGAGGTTTCCTTATGCTGATGAAGGTTTGGGGTTCGAACGTCGAAAATGTTTTTTTGGATTTAGGGATTTTGGCGTTAGTTGAGGGTCCTGGCATTTCAATCGACTAGGGTAGCGGGGTATTCAAGCTCCTTACGAGGTTGGTCAGGTTTTGATCTGTGGAAGAAGCTTCGTGATGCTGGCAGCCGGGGGGTGGGGAGGTGTCTGATACCTGGAAGGCCTCTATAATCAGCCAGGGTGAAACCAAAGTAGGACTAATACCATGAGCCGACAGAGTATCTACGACAACAATAGTACAGTTTTTTGATAGCTGACATGAAGCTTGCAGGAGGCACTTCCAAGATCGACGGCCCGGACGTTTCGGAAGCACCTCCGGGCTTGGAGGCAGGCTTTCCAGGGGCCTGGGGGCATTACTTGCAGGTTCTGGGTAGTTATAAGTGGAGCTATAAGTCCCCTGATATGAGTTCTAGTTACAGTTACTTTACTTAAAAAACCCACTTATGACTACCCATGAACCTCTAAGTACAGGTGGAATGGCATTAGGCGGTATTAGGGCCTTTACCATGGTGCTACACATGCTCCTGCTACCGTGCTACTGCGACGACCATTACTACTTACTACTGCTACTGCTCCTGCTCCGACTGTTGTTATTGATACTTATGATACTTACAATCGAAATGTTAAGACTCATAGCAATGATTAATAGGAATGCCAACAGCACTGTCAGTGACAATAGCTGTAGCCATCATAATCGAAACACTAGCAACAGCAGTATATTCATAACAGTTGCAATAATGTTCAACATGGTAGTTAGGTTATGGTGATAATAGCATGATGCAGATGAGCGTTGTAGTGTTGATAGATTTGGTGGCGGCTTTCCCGCCTCAGGGTGTGTCGGGCTCCTACATCAACCAGGTATGGCAGATCCACACTCCGCGCCCTGCTTCTGAGCCCATGGAGGACTCTACGCGACTTCGGGAGCCTTAGATTTCACAAGCCGCAGGTTGAGGAGGGAGGATTGGCCTCTTATTTGAGCACGTGCTTGTGTAGCCGAAGCAAAACAGGAAACCAGTATTCAAGGAGTGAGCTCACAGAGAACATCTCTTCTTTCTAAGTTTGGAAAACTGTTGATGCATGCAGCCACGACTCGAACACGAAAAACATCCACTTCATCCCTCCATTCGAAGAACTCTGGAGCTGTTGAGTCTATTAAACAGTCCAAAGGTCCCCAACTCCAACAATCCCTGACAACAGATCTCCTAGGAAAGGGTTCGCGTGTGATTATCTCTCGCAAAGCCTTGAACTTTCCAAGCCGCAGTCCGTCACCAAGCCGCTGGGAATCCACTGCCGTTGGGGCGGCTGGGCGGTACCATAGGGGCCTTAATAATTAGAATAGGGTTTGGGGTATATTATAGTTACTATGATCAGAGTAAGGAACCCCCAAAGCCTAGTCTGATGGTTAAGGCCCGTTTATTGGAGAAAAAATGGTTTTTGCAGGGCTCTGGCCTTTGATTCGGGTGTTGGGCTTAGATGCTTTTAGGGGCATAGCTGATCACCTATACTAAATCTGGGTTCCTGATAATTTTATAGTATAACGGGCCCAAAACCCTAGTCTAATTGTTAAGGCCCCTGTATCATGGTGTGTGCGGCGTTGAATGATTAAGTTGCTTTGAGGTTTCTCCCGATAAGTATCAGACAGGACAGTAGAGTGGTCGATAACGGTGATAGTGCCCATGAGTGCTCGTGATACAGGTCAACTAGGACCAAATAGGGGAGTAGTAGCCAATGCCCTGCGGATAGTCGGGATGTCGAGCATCTTAGTCACACGTCAGTACTCGAATATTGCTGGTAGAAACATGTCTTCCGTCCGAGTAGTAGAAGCCTTTGAAAACAGCAGCATGACTGTATGATTTTCTGGGGCGCAGTACTCTGAATACGACTCGCCCTGATGGCTTTGTCAGGGGCTTGCGGCAGTCACCCGAAACCTTGAGAATCCTGATATCAGGCCGAGTCACTGTGGAGCCAGACGTCGGAGCAGAATGCCAACCGCACGACCTGCGAGGACCCGTCTGACTTGACTTGCCTAGGGCATGGGAGATGTAGGCGTAAGGGGTTCTGTTTTATGTTAGGGTTGAGCGCAGGGATTTGGAATTGCTGCAGGATCTGTTCTGCACGATGTCTTGTCATATGTGTGGAGAAGTAGCACTGCGATGAACCGAAGAGGAGTCTTGCCCATACTGTTCTTGCCACACACTTGCTCTGTACAAGTCCCATGACAATGCTAGTACTGCTGTTTAGGTGTTTGTGTTTGGGCGCCTGGTGTTGTTGTTGATGTTGTTGTGTAGCACACACTTGTTTGTGCGAAGTGACAACTTCATATCTCACTTAAACACCGAATCGGTCAGGGGATTGACTCACCGATTCATGTCGAATGATTGTATACTCCGTGGCCATTTTGGCGAAAGCTGTTACAGCTTGAGCGAAATTTTGTTTCAGTCCCCTCGGATCAGTCCTCGGCCATCGCCGCTGTTGGCGGCCAGTACTTCGAGGTCTACTACGACCGCTGCTTGCGGCCAGTACTTCGAGCACTACGGCTTCTCTGTCGGTTGTTGACAGTCTGAAGGAATCGCTCGAAGAATTCAGTCGCGAGCAAGTTCTCGAAGATTTCCAAATCGAGAAACCCGAGGATGTGACTTGGGGAGCTTGGAACAAACGACAGTCACGACAGATTCGCGAGGCCATCGACCAAATTTCCCAGTGCCGAACTGGTGACGACATTGTCAATCTGGCGGCGACCTTGCTTAAGCCGCCGACTCTCGAGGCCTTCCTCTACCTGCACATCACTAATCGCGACGACACCGCGGAGCAGTTGACGATTCCCTTCGAGGTCGTCGAGGCTTCTCTACACCCTGACTCCGACCATGTACCTCTTCCTCCAGACACCGACGCAGCCCTTCTTGCACATGAGACTGAATTGCATAATCAGCATTTGGCAGACCTTTTGCGTGATGATTTTGGCATGGAATTACATAATCCTGAACCCGCTGCCTCTAAAGCTCGAAAGCGGAACTTCGAAGGGCATCTCAAGCCCACTACTTCGATTACCATCGATTTGGATTAGTCACTTCGTAGCCATGGCACGTACCCGAGCTGACTCATGGTTCGATTTTCTCTGCGAGGGCACGCTGGTGAAGATGACGGCCCCTGTTCCAGAGTCGATGCTTAACGAGTACCCCGAAGTAGTCAGCGACACGG